TTGAGCGTGTGCTGCTTGCGGTGTCAATGTAACACCATAATTCATGTTTGATCTAATTTTTTTTTTCGTTGATCAAAGTGCACGCGGTCATTTCAAAATATGAATTCGAAACCCACTCGGAAAGACATGCACGAACACAAAGCTGTATGTTTAGAAAGATTTTACTCATAAATCTCACGTTTTTCATAGTATATCGCCAGTTAGATCTGCATGTACTCATAGGCGCAATGAAAAAACCGACCAACCGCTGCAAACCGACTGAAACATGAGATCTCATTTAGTCACTGTTTTTTTGTTGTTGTTTGCGTTTTTATACAACGAAATGGAAATGAATTTGCTCTATTTTCGCAGACAAATTCGTTTTAGACTAGATCTTGTAAGATTGTTTTTATCTCGTTACGCTTCTTGATCACATAGACGTTGTGTGCGTTTTTTCGTTGCCAATGAATTTGCTACTTTTTTTGGATTTATTTCATCGACCTTGAAATCATTCGATTTGTATGGCTTTCATTCTTCTTGTCGAATACTTCCCGATTTAGACGAAACGGTGGGTAATTGAAGAGCTCATTTTCACGTCTATGAATTGCCGAACGATATAAACGCTTCATTTTGTAAAGCATTTTGTAGGAAAAAGCCACATATTAGCTCATTTGCCCTTTGTTTGGATTTCAATCCATTTGGTATGTCAATCGTGATTTGCACAAAAACGGAGTGCCTTCATCTTTTGACTTGTGTACATATTTGAAAATGAAATTATACCGAACTAAATATGGAACAATTGTATGCTTAACCTTTGACAACTAAACAACCTGCAGTAATGTTTGCTTATTTTAAGAACCATTATCATTATGCGGTGTGTCGTTACCTCTTTTTTTATTTTGAAATGATGTTTTTGACCAACTTGTTGGCTCTTTTGAAAATATTCTTAATGTGTATTTCTATTGCAAAACACTCTACAAACCTCGTGAACGGTGTTGCTTTTGAATCGAAAGTTCCTTCAACGACTTTATCAAAAGATAGAAAATGAGTACAAACCTGAAAAAAGAGTAGAAAAACACAGACGGTTAGAAAATTTCTCTATAAATCATAGGTTAAATTAAGAAAATAAATGAATGAAAATAATCCAAAAACATTCAAAGTTTTTTTACATCGTATTTGGCGACACAATTCCATCCCAGCCGAATGACTATAAAAGAGGAACGGTAAATATCATGGTATCATTGTCGTTTGTGAGTTTTCAAAGTGAAAATTCCCCATTATAAGATCAAAAATAGCCAACCGCTTAATGATGCATTAAAAGTAACCGAAGTACATTTTAATGAATGTCTGTGTGCGATCGTGGCAAGTAAATAAGTTCAGCGAATAAGAGATTTCGAGTTGAACAAGGTCCAGACCATTTGAACTTGATTACACATTTCGATGTGTATGTCGATTGTTTGTGATCTCGAAAGCATAACCATACACTTGTATAAATCGATTAACGAGACTCACTTTTCGTTAGTTCAATCAATTTTCTTTATTCATTCATTCATTTGAGATGCCGATATACTTCAATCTAAAAATGGTACACACTAAGCACGACGCTGCGGGCCAAATTGAAAGCATCAAGCGCGCATAATGGAAATTATTTGTGTGTGTGTCTGATTTTTTTTTATGCTTTTCTCGCCTCATTTCGGATTTTAAACATGATGGTTGCGCTCTCGCGCAATTAAGAAAGTTTTTCAATTGACGGTTTGTATGTGAAAATTGTTGTTTCATGTCTCATGTATATACTCCATAAAATGTAATGTACTAAATTGTCGTTATATTTTTCGCTGAAATCGCTGTGCACACGACAGTGGCACCAAATATATGCAAATAAACCGGAAAGATAGGCGAAGTTTGTCGAAGAGAGAGAGAGAGAGATTAAGCGAAATAATAATAATACAGAAGTAAATCGAGGACAATGAAGGCAATGCGATTTTTTAAAGATAATCGGAATGAAAAGGTGCGGCTCGGTTTCGCTAAAATCGATGCATTTTTGTTGGATTTGAATACACTGCAATTAGTGAACAATTTTTATTTCTCTCTTTGGACATTCAATCAAATGTATGAGAATTCGAACATTGTTCCATTCAACTTACGGCAACACAAAGGGTGAAACAAAAAGTCGAAAAGGCCTTGCTCTTAAAAATAGAATTGGCCACGCCATCGTTAGCATTGGACTGTCGGACGGTGATTTCAAATGCATTATGGTAAATTATGGTTTTCCTCCGAAAAGAACGAAAAAACAACCATCGAGTGCATGGTAACCATCGAGTGCAATGCCTTTTATTGCTGCTTGTAGGCGGAAGTCGGTAATTTGACTTTCGACAGAATCAAGCCACCCTTTTCACTTCGAAGTAAATTCAAATAAAAACGCTCAATTTTTTTCAGCTGCGTCATCACATCGGACGTTTGAATTTTTTTTTCATTCTCTTCGCCACACAAATAAATAAAACACACACGCACCGCTCACGAGAGTTTGAGAGAACAAAAAATAAACGACCATTAAATAAAAACACTCTCACATGACGTGTGTATGTGTGTGCGTGTGACCGAATACAATTGAGTTTTGAGCGCTTTATATTTGGTGGCCGGTACAAATATAATGGAATTATCACGCTCGGTTGCTTTAGCCGGTAATTATTATTAAATAATATTTTCCTTTCCACTGCCATAAAGTAAACCGAATGCATATTTTGAATTGGAATATTATTTTGCGGGCGACCGAAAGTAAACACACATAGCCGCAATAAAACGATAGCTCATAATTAAAAGAGTAAAGTTGGTTTTTTTTAAATTCACCGCTTTTTGTAGCGATCCTCTCTGAAAACGCCCATGTTTTAATGTGCGGTGTATGCCCGGTTGTGAGAGAAAAAATCCCATAAACGGACAAACGATTGTTTTTAATTATTGTCGCTTGAGAATTTCACATGTGGCGAAAATCTCTTTTTTTCGGCCAAACAATGGACAATAAAACACGTTCGAAGGCGCAAATCGTCCCCCCTCATTTGAAGATATCGAGGAAAAGAGAACAAGCACAATAAATAGTGTGATGTCATCCATGTTATGAGTCGTTCAGCCAAATTTTTGTAAATGGTTTTTTTTTCTCTTCTTTGAAATGAATGTATGCGATTCAGAAAGGCGGCCGAAATTTAATACAAAACGAACAAAATATATCCGAAGAACACTCATGGTGAAAATGCATAAAAGCCCAAAGTGATTAATTTCGAACAGCAGCCACCGCAGTCACAGCGATTGAACTCCAGAGAAGAGGAAAAAAACGAAGAAGAACCAACGCTGTACAAAAGATACAAATCTGAATACGAAATGCGAGTCATCAAAATGGATTTGTAATCGGTCAACATTAATGCAAGACTATATAGAATGAAATGGATTTCACTTGTGCCTAAAATCCCCCCACCCGAACCGAGAACGAACCGACCAACATAAAAATAAATCGTGTAAATGTAAAATAATCCGGTTTTAAAGTGTGTGTTGTGTATGCTTGGAAAATATATCACATGATATCAAGTCAATCGGCCGTCATTTATTCGTTTAAAAAAAAAAAACAGAAAAAAAAAACGAAAAGAAGATACACATGTGGCCGAATGGGATTGTCTTCAATCTTCGGCTTCATGCTGACTTACACACATATTGCATTTCGACCGAATAAAAAATGTATACAATAACATTGATCGCCGGAGCGAAACCATTCTCGAAGAGTCTTGATTGTGTCTGATACATAATTTTAGAACAAGTTAAATTTAGAGAAAGAAAATGGAAGATTCGAATAAAAAACGAAGAATAAACAATATTTATGCATTTCATTTGGAAGAAAGAGAGTAAGCGAGAGCTGAAAGGTCAATGCATGTTTTGTATTTGTGATGCGTTTGATTTAGATGTTGAACAATAGAGGCAAATGGACATGCTCAACGGAACAGATCATACCACTTGCGATCTATTCGTGGGCAATGAAATGCGTCGAATGTAAATGAAAATTCTTAACTTCGAAGAAATAATAAGAAATCGTAAAAGGAAATTATGAGGTGAACTGGAGAAAAAGAACTTCATTTGAAAACAAACAAAAAAAAAAACAGTCCACAAAAAACACAAAGGTTTTCGAATCGAAAACAATGGCCGTTGCATTTCTAAAATTCATTTGGTGATTTTCTCTGGTTCGCGTGTTTCGAATGACTTTTTCAGTGGTGATTCAGCGCATTGATATGTTTGCATGTTGAAATAATCCGGCCTAGTTCATGCACTTTGGATTAACATTTGGCTATGTGCAATATAAAAACATATGTTACATTTTCCATTTTCAATCGTATACACGATTACAAATTTCGATTCGGAAACAATCCAACCAATTACCGTGCTCATTGTACACATTGCGTATATATACATATTTCGTTCGGCGGCCCTAATTTCATTCGACGAAAATTCCAAACGAAGTGATAAGATAACCGTTTTCATATAGGTAATACATTGACCTAAATTGCATAAACGACCGTATATATACGTGATGATGTGTATGCAAAATATGTGGTAACATTAATTTCAAGCGTTTATATTTCTTTTTCCTTATCTAATGTGTTTTTGCCGTAAGTGCTTCTTATGTGCCATAACTTATCAGCGTTGAATCGGAACCGTTAACACAGTCTTGCAATCGCTGATATGAGAGAATGTATGCAAACAAAAGTAATAAACGTAAATAAATGCAATGAGCTGTGGTTTTGTGTGGTTGTTGTTTTTTTTCAAAGGTGGGTCTTGTTCCATATATATATTTATTAAAATACGTGCGCCGTTGATTATACCAGTTTTTTTAATATTCAGTGAGTACTGAGAGAATCTAACGTTTCCGCTAATACGAACAAATCGTATATGTATTGCAATAATGGCGATTAGCGAAGTAAAAAAAAGCACTCAATTGAAAGAAACTGATTTGAGTTTGATCTAAATTTGCAATAATGGCTCACCTTTCCAGCTGCTTTCTTATATCTTCGTGTGGCTTCGTGTATCAAGTCTCGAACCAACAGTTCCCCATTTCCACATGGCACAACAACACGAACATTCCCAAAACACACTGTGACTTTCATGTTTGATTGCGTTTTTTTTTTCTTCTCTATTCACGTTTTATTTTATATTCTCTACGCTTCCAAATCGTTCAAATTCCAATGTTCTTCGATTCAAACGTGTAACATTTACATTGTTACCAAAAGAAAGTCAGTCACTCTCGATATGATCATAAGTCTCTCTCACAAAATTTACTATGTGTGTATTATCGAGTGTGTCTTCAGTTTGATGAACTTGAGCAAATAACATCTCTTATCGGAGTAAGCGATCGCTTAGTCACTTGGTTAAATTTTTTGTTTATCGAAGAATTAGTCACTTGTTTCGCCTCTCTTGTCACGAAATTCACACTTTATTTCATCACATTTATACACTAACACTGATGTTGCGTAGATTTACACAGAATTATATGAAGCTGCTGTTGAGTAAATGTTTACTCACACTTTTTCCGTGTGCAAAATCCGATTGACGATTTCAAATGATCAAATGCACACACAAAGACATTTGTTTACAGGAAAACACACAATTTACACTTTGCTAAAAAAAAAATATATATATAGAAGGTTTTCTACGTCGACTGTAACATTCACTTTTAATTGACCAGTTGAGGTTACTCGTTTGCACTTAGAATGTCGACAACATTGAAAATATAATATAATCACTGCTGTTGTATCAATACGATTTGTTTAGCTAAACAAACACTGCACAATGAGAAATAAACGATATTTTTGTGTATTTGCGACGTCGTTGTATCACTGTAACCGTCTTGAATCCTCTTGTTTTTTTTTCTGTGTCACTGGAATGAAGAAAGAGAGAATAATTAACAAACATTGACAATCACATATCGAGATGATTTGTAAATGAACAAATGAGTTTAACATGAGCACGCCTTAATCGTTAAATTATTACGATTGAGAACAGATTTCAGGGTTTTTTTCTCGCTCTCAGCACACAATACACAAAATGATCTGGTTTTTTTCTCGTTAATTAATAGTGAAGGAGGTACAACGAATTCAGTAGCACCTAATCAAAAACAAACGCGGAAATTTCAGCTTCGAGATTCAGAAATTTGTGTTAAAATTAATATGATATGAGTATCTTTTAACGTCTTTTTTTCTTGAAATAAAACTTTTTTACGATATTTTTTTACATAACAACCGAAAAAAACATATAAAGTGACTCGAACAACCGCCAACTGATTGATGCGATGTCATTTCGTGCACAATTTACTCGTTTTTTTGCTCGATGAATTTCAAAAGTCATTTTGATATATTATTCTGGATTTTGTCATGCGATCCAAAGAACTAAGAACATTCAAGGAGACTTGTCGACGCAAGCATATAAAAAATGTTAATGAGAGCGAGAAAAAAGGAGAGAATGAAATAACAAAGGAAAGAGAGAGGGGGAGAGATGTAGAAGTAGAGAAAAGCAGTTGGAAGAGGATGTTAAAAGAGGCACTAGAAAAACAAGCGTTAAGAACATCTGTCATTATCACTTGTGGCATGCAATCGAATGGAAAAAAAGAGCTGAAATCTGTAAAATTTGAAATCGGATGTCGGCATATTTTTTCACTATCATATTCATTCTTGAATGGCAGCACGTATATTGAAACCGAGAATTGCTTTGCAAAATTCAGACCAAAACAAAAAAGTGAAACGGATTGCGCGCTATTATATATTATTTTTCGAGTTTGGCAAGCTCAAGAATGCCGCGAGCGAATGAAGTCAGAGCGTATGTTTGTGTTTTGTTTTCGTCATAAATTTGAATGTGGTCGCATTGCAATGCATTTTTCCAATCTTTGTGCTGTAATTTGAATTTCAACGTTGTTTTTGTCGTCGCTGTTGGTGTTGGTGTGTGCAGCGTGTCCGTACAAATGAATTCCAACACTTGCAATTTTAATTATTGTTTACTTTTCACTTTTTTTTCATCTTTCTCTTGCTTGTGGATTTGTTGCTAGCCGATAGTTTTTCATTTTCAGTGTTATTTGTGCATGATAATTATGCGCTCTCTGAAGTACCAAGAAATCGGCGCACGAATTCATGTAATATGATGTGAACTGAAAAAAATATACGCTGCGTCTGACTTTAGAAAATGAAACGATTCGATATATATCTATATGTGCTATGTTATTGTGGCGGTGTGTGCATTCAGACAAAGCATGTACACGATTTGTAACACATATACGTACTTCGGACCGACGTACATGTATGTTTGCTAACATGCAATTTTCACACACAAGTCAGAAGAGCGAAATGAAAAGCAAAAAAAAAAAACACTTGAATATTGTGCATAATTACTTTATACTACCAGAATGTATAAAACTAGACCATTTAATAATCAGCGCAGATATATTTTTATTTACGCGCGGCAGTTAAACAATGTGAGAGCCGCGCAAGAGGTGTGCAAGAGGTGGTGAGTGAGAATAACAAATCTGCGATGGAAATCATGCAAACGGACAATGATTCAATTATTACACCCAACTTCAAGAAACACACTTTTCAACAACACGATCTTCAGTTGCTGCTACGTTTTTACTTCTTTCTCGCGTGAAAAATATACAGTTTCAGCTTCAATTATGATGAGAAACTTTACAATCACTGAAAAAAACAGTGAAGTACACGCACGATTTTTTTTTCTTCTACTTTGAAATCTTCACTCTGTTTGTGAAATTGCGTTTTACAAAACTGACGATTACACTCTTGACGTTTTAATTGTTGTTTATGAAGCGATTTGTTTACCATTCAATAAAACAAAATTCATTTTCTTCTTTCGCTCCAAATTACTTTGTTGTTATTAAAAATAAATACAGTTCAAACACACACACTCTCTCTCTCTCTCTCAATCTCTCTCTCTCTCTATCTCTCTCTGCATCGATATTGCACTGAATAAATGTACTGTTTGTACTGTGCATGGTTTTGCTTTTATTTTTGGTTAACGATGACTTGGACAATATGTCATTCTCAAAAGGTTATGCAGCTATTTCGTGTGAAGCGCATTTTGTATCACTATGGCAACCGAATAAACATAAACACATTCTATTTATAAACACACCGTTGCTGCTAAAAAGAACTGTCAATTCAAAGTTATTGAAACGATTTTTCAAAAGTGTCAGATGGTTGGTCATAACGCAACTGTAAATGTGATAGGCAAAGCATGTTCAAACGGTAGTTCGATTATATATGTATGCAACCGTGTTCAATGCACACGATTCGACACAAGGGGAGAAAATTGACAACTTCTGTTGCAGCTGAATAGATCTGGCTTCTAACTAAACTACAGGTTTTTGTGCTTATGTGTATGCGTGTTGGCGGATGGATAGAATAGACAAACACGTAAATTAAGGATCGTCATAAAAAAGATCGGAAACATTAACTGATGTATACAGTGCAATGGAACTATATATTCCTTTTCTCTCTAATTCTCCAATTTTCTTCGGACGTGTTCTTTTTCGGGCTGAAAGTGATCACTTTTTCTTCTTTTTTTCTTCTCGACAAGAAATAAGATATGCAATACAAACATAGTTCTTTTTATATACGTACTTCAACACGGCAATAAAAGCCTAATTAAAGAAAGTGGAAATAACGAACGAAAAAGGACTCTGAATATCATAAAGGTAGACCGAAGATAGAGAAAAACATACCGAAACGCAAATAAGCAAAACACACAAGATGTTGTTTGATTTTATGCGCAACCTAGACATTTTCACTATTTTTGGGCTCGGCCGAGTAAAACCAAAAAAAGGTATGCGCTTTAAGGTGATCGTCATCGTTGGCATTTCAACTCAAATCATCTGATGGAATCTATTTTCAACGCCATTCCACATCAGTCGTGTACATTCTAAAAAAGAGTGTGCAATTTGCACAAGATTTGACGTTTGAATATGCTTTTCGATTTCGAAGCTAATGCACACACACAAAAAAACAATCAACATTACACAAGCGTCGCACGATGATTGGGAGGGGGAGGGAAAATTGCTTGTTCTTCTTCTGCTCTAACGAATCTCAAAACAAAACATGTTTACATTTAAAATCGTTAACGAAGCGATTCATACGGCATAAATGTGTACAATCGGCATTATTCACGAGATATTCGTTTTCTAGCTTCTACATGGCATGGCTGGTTCGCAGAAAAATGTAGGTAAACAATGTTTCGATTGAATCACCCAATCACCTATTTCATTGTATGTGCATCAGTTGAGAGAGTTGCGAGAGGCGATTTTTTTCTATATTGAATTACGCGCGCAAGTACCATCAACCGAGAGGTGTGTGTGTGTGTATGTGAATTCTTCGAGGCGCGCATTATCGACGACTTATTTGGTTGGGTCAGTGTCTTTGTCTTTTTCAAATGTTCACATCATACGCAAACAAAGTACTTGGGATTCGTGCGAGCGAGTGAGTGCAATGCATTTGACGGTCTCTTTTATAAGCGCCATAAATAAAATCAACTCTATTTTAATGGCAATTCAATGAATGTTGTCGTATATTTTTATATGGAAATATGATGCAAGCTATTTTCGAATGGATTATGGCTCAAACATGTACATGTGTGTGCTTCGAATTCCAACCAATACACGTATGTTATAATCGCGCGTTCGCGCACACAGTACACGTTAACAAGGTTTAACTGAAAAATATTCGAACTAAAACAACAGCCGCAGGAGCGCGAAAGGGACAACGGCATAGACATAGTGTACGATGGAAGAAAAAGGAGGTAAATTGAATCAAACATGAGTTGAAAATTAAATAGTGGCGACGAATGAAGCGAAGAAACAAGAAACAAACCTATATCTGTTCAATACACAAAAACAGAATACAACGTGTGAGAATACATCGATGGATAAACCCGACTGACCATACGAAATAAAAAAAAACACACAGAGAACACATAAGTTCTCTTTACCAGCCGTACAACGCACTGACGAATCTCTTTCGCTCGCCCGTGTACACACTATGAAAACAAACGGCCACAACGAACAACGAACCACCTGCATATTACTCATGTTCTCCCATTCTCATTCATAACCACATTTCATATTACACGCATTACATGTATACAAATACAAAATTTGTCGCTTTTTATGCCCATGCTATTTCTCTTTCTCGTTATTTTGAATATATGTTCTTTTTTTTACGTATTGTATTACCTTTATCTGACGATCACCTTTGTTTTATATCAAACACAAACGCAACAAATGAAAAAAAAAACCAATTATAGTTTGCGAGTACAACACTCAACCTTCAATTATTCGCATTTTGTCGCGTTGCGAACATCGAAGTGATGTTTGTTTTCATGTTCAATGGAAGAACCCCAATTGATCATATTCGATTCATCTGCGTTGTTGCTGTTTTTTTTGTCTATCTTCAATGTCTCAATCGTCTGCGATTATGAAACTGGGATTTTTTATTTCTTGTTCGATTTTTTAGTGACACTCGACATTCACAAATTTTTTGGTGCGAGTTTATTTTAGATTTTTGCTATCGATATGAAAACTTTTTTTTCATCGTTCACCACGAAACACTGTTTAGAAATGAAAACGATAAATTTGAATAAATATCGAAACTAGTTTGTCGGCTAACGTTTGCACAAATCAAATTTACATCAATTACCATTGTCGAAATCGGCGTTTTGTCACTTTGTGCAACCGATCAACATCACAAAATCAATCTCAACACAATTACTGTCCATTGACGAAATTTCAAATCAAATTTTTTGCACAAATACTGGATTTTAAACAGTCTGTGCACTTACAATGTATTTTCTCTTCTTCTTTTTCGTTCTTTTATGGTCGATCGAATGACGCCAACTAAACAGCACAATTTATCACAAACATATCATCAATTCTTTTTGTTTTCACATTTTCAAATTCTGGAGAATTTTCTATTTTCATGTTTTTTTTTGTTGATGTTTGGTTTCTTTTTTGTAAGCAAAACTTTTCTACATCACCGTTTCGTTAACAGAATGAAAAAAATGTTGATTTTTGTTGTTATGTTTTGTCGTCGTCGGTCTGCACAACGCACGACGATCGTGTCAACTAGTTTACGGATACTGGTTCAAAAATTGTTGTTGAAATTCTTCGAAACGTTTTAGTCGTTTTGGATTGTGAGTAGTGGTTTGGTGTATGGCAGTACACTTTCATTGTGTGTGTGTTTAACGAACGTTTCAAGTTTGTATTTGACGCTATTGCAGTCGCACACACGCAGCTGCATGATATGGCGTTACCGTTTATACCTTCAGCTTGTGAACAATGACACATTCACCACATTGAATCACACACTCTCGCATACACACGCACACAACTCTCTCTCTCTATCTCTATGTGTGTTGAATTCCCTCACAAATGTGAAATTCAAAATGTAAACGAACAAAATACACACACCGTTTGAATGTTTGGTGGTGGCGCTGACGTCAAACTTCTTTGTTTTGAATTTCAAACGAATACTACTGTCGCAGTAGTTCGTCTAGTGGCTGAAAGAGGACACTCTACTACCCATTAATTCCTTAACTGAAATGAAACACAATTTCTATGAATTGATAATATTTTTTATTGTTTAGTGTTTATTTTAACCAAAAAAACTATTTACAAAAGGTCTTATTATTTAACTATTACATAATTAGAATTTCGTTTGGGGAGGCTGTTTAAAGCCTCTTATCTAAATGCTGTTGTAGAATTAGTCTCGTCAATAATATAATTAGAATGAATTGTTTTGTATTGTTGGAAAAATATAAAAAAAAACCAAATGAATTGATAAGATATTTAATAAAATATGAATAGTTTTTATATTGAAACAACTGTGGAGAAATCATATCACGATGCGTCGGTCTCAACAAAATTGTTGGATTTTTTCTGTTTCTTTTTCAATTTCTTAAATTTAGCACTCTTATCCAGATTTTCTTGGAAGAACGCGGTCTCTTTGCGTGCTTGTGAAATTTCCGACTGCAGTTTCTGACGATGAACTGCCTTTTCGTATGTCAATCGTTCGCTCAGATGAACCCATTTAAATCGTGGCAAATATTTCATCACCCAGAATTTATCGTAGAATTTGGAACTTTTTCGTGAGGCAATCGGTGCATTGTTGAGCATTTGAACGACACGTTTTGCGGCCCGTTTACTTTCGAATTCAACCCAACCTTCAGTAAAATGACGAGCCACGCGACGCTTTTTCTTCTTTCGATTCTCTTCTTCGGCTGCGATGAAATGAATGTATTAACATTTTGATTTGTTGATTTGCATTTATATAAATGCTTACCTGATAGTTTTCCTGGTTGTAGAAATACTCGTCCGATTTTTGCATATTCGCCAAGCATTTCCCGTAAAATCGTTACATTCATATACTTTGGAATTGATGAGATATAAATGATGCCACGTTTTTTCTTCTTTTCTGGTTTGTCGCTTGGGCCCGCCTCTTCATCCTCGTTTTCACTGTCATTTTTTCCATTTTCATCAGACATTTCTTCGTCGTTGCTCAAATCTTCATCGGCCTCTGATTCTGAATCACTTGCGACCATTTTTTCATTTTTCTTCTGCATTTTTGCACACACTTTAACTCTTAAAACCGAAATCACGGTATGTTGTTGTTTTGATGTTTTTTTTATTTAACTCATGTGCTTAGACTGGCATTTAAGGTTATGACAGCATATGAGCTGTCAAATGGTTTTTTCAACACAAATGTCAGTTGTGTGGTGAAATTTAATGTTTTTAATTGAACCGCTAACGGTGAGCAAATTGGCACACAAATTCGTGAATTATTTAAACAGTTTGTATTTAACTGCAGTCATAAATGCATCAACCATGAGTTTTGATACGGGATTTCTTTCACAAAATTCACAAAGTTCACAACATTCATGCGATTCAACCGAATTCGATGAATTGTTCGATTTGGATCGGCCGCCAACTTGTTCATTCAGCAGTTTTTCATTGCCCACCGGCAATTTTCCCTCTCAATTGATTCTGACGAAAAGCACACAGCAAAGAAGCGATTTCGATAGTTGTTTTGATTTTACATCAAATTCGTCGAACAGAACACAGAGAAATTTTCGCAGATTCGAGACTCAAACAACGATTTCAAGTCAAAGTCCAGTGTCAACAAATAGCGATAATTCCAAAGAATCGAATTTGGAATCTCGATCATCGTCCGGCTTGAATGAATATTCACAAAATCAAAGCAATGAATCGAATGAAAGCGTTGAACATTCAGAGGAAAAAGCAGACCGAGAACAACAGTTCTCACAGAAATCCGCAGATGATGAAGAAAATGTTGATGAAGAAATGCCATTGACAGGCAGCAGTGACCAAACAGTCCTTTACGATATGCCCGATTCCGTTCTTCCAATAATTGATCCGATCATTGAACTGTTCAGAAAAATCCGATTGCAGTATTCTGATAATGCATTTGTTTACGCTCTAGCGTCGAATATGTGCAAAGATATTTATCCAAAGAACAGTCACATCTCACTCAAAATGGCACTTTTGTTAAGCATCGTCTCGTGTAACGTAAGTATGAATACCTATTTGTGATTCAATTCCCGTCTTTGTGTTTCGTAGTCAAAACATTGATAGTTTTGTTTGTTCGTTTAAAAGAAGAATAAAATGATTAAAACCAATTTCAGGTTGAGAAGAATGCGCAGCCAATTTCGATAATGGCAATAACACGTGATTCAGCCACCGCTTCATCCGTCATGAGAAACATGGGGAATTGTGCTAGACGGTATAGACAAAAAAAAATAGTTCACCGACGTTCAAAAGTCACATAAATAATTCGTTTTCTCTTCTTGAAATATTTGTTTTGCAGATTCGTTTGCATAAATGATGATTTAAAATTCAACGGAATTTGTACAAAGACCAAAACAATCGAGGCAAATTCGTTGCTAATGGCACGCAATGGTGTGTGTTTTATCGGTGATTGGTTCGGTCTAAAGGCGTCATCGTTGAACTATTTGCAAAACGGTACTTTTTTGCTCTCTCCCTCTTTTTCGGAATTTGTTTGTTTGTTGATGTTCGATGAGATAAGATCATGACATCAGCTGTCTTGTGCTTTCTATTGAAGAAAAAAGTATGTTGATTTTTTTTTAATTTGTTTATTTTTCAGTGGTGGACAGTAGCCGAGTGACAGCCGATCGAAATTCAAACATTGAATACGCCTTGAACTGTGCAATTTGGATGTATTGGTCATGTTCGGCCAAGAAAATGAGCCAAAATCAAAAAGACCTAACCACTATATCGAAGTAAATATACTGTGTTTCATGCTATTGAATGATAAAATCAATTACGTTAATTCTTTGATTTTATACAGGCTATTTGGAATCCCCGTTGTGTTAGATGAGATACCAAGTCAAGATGTTATTGATTTTCTTTTTGCACAATGTTCGTCACATCAGACGACTGCAGAAGACGATGATGAGGGCAATGTAATTGACGAGAATGCAATCAAAACCTATTTGAATATTGTGTCAGGATTTCCAACCGAGTTCGATCAAGAAGCATTGGGAATGCTTAAGTATTATTTTATCGTCACCAGAGCAATGCGACCAAGTAATTTATTCTTTTGATAATCGATTTTTTCCGCCATTTTAATTCTTCTTATTCGTATTTTAGACATTTTAACACCGAAAAGTTTTGACATTCTTCAGCGATTGAGCGAATGCCATGCGAAGTTGTGCCTGCGAATCCAGGTATTGAAGTAAGTAACGATTGAAATTGTTTTGGAATTTCCAGTGAATAACCAAATAGTTTCTCTTAAATAGAATCGATGTGACATTTGCCATTGAGCTGTTTGAACAATTTGTACTGAACGTTTTTGCCGGCCAAGTCTTGACCAAGCCAATAGCAAATAGTTCACCGACCGGTTTTCAGCAGGTACACTTTGTTTGTAGCTTTTTTATTTGCTTTGAAATGGTATTTATTTGATTGGGTAAATATTATTTTTATTATCAGGTTGACGATAATATGCGAGAATTCACACAATGGTTAATAGACTACTTGTCTAACGTCAATGAGAGTGTACACACATTCTTCCAAGAAAATTTGTGAATCGATGCAATGAGTAATCCGCGATAACAATTAGATTAGACGATTAGGATTTCAATTGAATTCGCGATAATTTTTTTTTCACTTTCAATAAACTACCTTGGGAATCCACGTGATCGATGCTATCGCAATCAAGCAACTGCAATATTTCATGACTCTTCATGAGGCAGGAAGAAAGAATTTTTCCGTAAAATATGATAACAATAGCAATCAAGTTTGGTTATCAAACTCATTGAATTGTTTTTTACAGATGCGATTGACCCAAATTATTATGTTTTTCAACAAATTGTTTTTATCGAATGGGAAATTTACTTAGAGATTTTAGTGAGAAAAGAGTGAATTTTGATTACAAATACCTTAAGCAATGCTTATTTAAACAAGAATATACACATATGATATGTATTTTAGAAATTTCGACGTAATTTTCCATATAATTTTTATTTCTAATGATTTAATAAATGTCACAAATGATAAATCAAAAATATGCGTAAATAAATAAAACGATTTGGTAAGACTTAAAGATAATCGACCATTGCTTTGATCATTTCATATGTTTCAAGCCCAGTTGTATCGATGTATGATGGCGATAATAGATACCCTTGTGTACCAGTATCTCTTAGCTCAATTGTGTAGCTGTATTTTATTCCGATTTTATGCATTGCATAATCGGCAGATGTGCCCGATTTCAAGTCGCTCATTTCATTTGTGTTATCAACTGTGTATCGACCGGAGGACGCAAAATCACGTAGCGCATTCACAGCCACCTCGGCCATATCGCGCAAATCATTTGACCGCTGCGATGCATCATATCGTGAATTTTGTGTCGATGGATAGGTTATGTATTGTCCATACGATTGCAACGAAATAAATAACTGAAAATGATAGAAATTACGCAAAAATAAGTAAAAAGAAAATGTTTTACAATTGCAGCGAACTTGAATTTTTAAAATACGTGAGATTGTGCTTTGAGAGAAGCTCTTTTTCTATTGTTTTATCCGCCACATCAAAATAAATTAACTTATTGGTCGAATGCAGATAACTCACACTTAACGACTTTTTGTTTTCCTCTAAAAATGATGCCAGAGCTTTTGTTTCTGGTTCTGAAAGTGCTTTCGGGCCTACATAAAACTCACTGCAAACAGATGAACTGCCGTACATTTGCCAATCGGTATTGTAATTTCTATCGGGATCGGTGCCATAACAATCCGCAGCTTCAATTGATGGATCACGCTTTAGCCATTTCAATCTACAAATGGAAGCAAATTTGAAAATAACAGAATAAAGAACAAAAATAGTTTGTATGAAATTTACGCTAAATTGAGTACGGAACCAGCTTCAGGAAGTTTGGATCGTGTCTTTCGCCACATTCGATCATAGTTTAAACTATATTCGTAGCCATCCGGATTTGAAACCGGCATTATGTACCAATCCACTGATCGAAGAATTTCTTTTTCCGTATTGCCATCTGAAATCGAAACATTGACTTGAGAAAATGAACCAAAAAAGTTGAGTCCAAAATATTTTACCTTCGGTGTTATTGTATTTGACCAATTCCTTGATTATCCACGAAGCCACAGCCGGCGAAATCCATTCGCGACCATGTACACCGGCTTCGATGAATACACCCGGCCGAATCACCTTTTTCTTTCTCCGTGTCTTTAGCTTTGGTTTGTTCTTCTTTGCATTTTCTGCCATCATTTCGGATTCCGTTGCATCAAATGAAATCTGGTGAATAAAATGTTTGAATAAAAATCATTTTAGATGCCGAAAATATTAAGCTTTTTCTTCTGTACAAAAGAATATTGTCAATATTTTTTCATCGACTCACCTTCACCACCATAAGCGGTCTGCCTTCAAATGAACGTCCGATATGAATTAATTCAACCAAATCTGGATATGTCAATTGAAGATAGTCTAAATAAATGGCAATGTCTTCAAAATTGTGATATCGATACCAGGTCATCGGATGCCCTTGCTCTTTTTCCAATTCGATTTTCTGACGACGTGACATTATTGGATTTTCATATTTAATGGCTTTCTCCAAGTCCCAAACGATTACTTCATACGGAATGGATTCGTATTCAAGCAATTCCTGCACTTCTTTATTGATTTCGGGCGGAACAAGTATATCATTTGGTCCTCTATGCAACAAAAGACCAATCAGACTCTTATGATTTCGACATTTTTTATTTAAATTTAGATAATTACCTCATCGCAGGTCCTTTCAACCATCGTACATTTTCAAACTCTCCCGTATCTTTGGACTCGCGTAAAAATTCCAAGTGGGCTTGAGTCGATGGTGTGACACGCCAAATTTGGTAGTCGTCATATTTGACACGTCGCAATACATTTGTACGATTCATAGACGATGATTGCGATGACGGTGTTTGCATCGTTGCCATATGAGCTGATAACATTTCAATCCATTTTTTACCATCGGTTGATTGCGTTGTCGCCTCCGGCTTGACTGTGGTCGTCGAATCTCCTTTTGAGAACAAATTCGAAAACCAACCTAAAAACAATGTCAACCGAAAATTCAATGAGGAATGAGACATTTTTAGAGGAAAGTGTCAATTTACTATTTTTTTCCGTTTGTGTTTGTTCAACGACAGTTTTTTCCGTGGTAACTTCACCACTTCCGCTTAACCAACTGAAAAACCCCGGTTCTGTTGTCAATTTAACGTGTGGTATTGAGGTCGGTGTAGTTTCTTCAGAATCAGAGCCAAAGAAAAACTTATCATACCATCGATTGTTCTTTTTCTCTTCAACATCAATATTGTTCTGATATTTTGAATACAAAGGATATTTTAGTTTTGGATTCCGCTTCTTCGACTCATTATCTTTGTCGCCGTCGTCGTCATCGTCGTTGTCTTCATAGTCATCGGATCCAAAGATTGACGGAAAAGCAGGCACAAAACCGCTTAGTGTATCGTAGGTTCTTTGAAAGTACTTTCCCATATTTCCCATTGTCAATCCACCGTAATCGTCGTCTTCATCGGACTCCGAATCCTGAATTGGATGTGAAGAGCCCGAATTGGATTTTCGTCGTTTGACATTTTTTCGTTTCTTTTTATTTGATCGATAAACATTGATTTTATTCGGTGGCGGTTTCACATAGACATCTTCATCACTTTCATCGTCGTCGTCATAGTCCTAAAAAATCCAACACCGAAAAAACAGATAGAAGGAATCACTCGTGCAATTGCAAGAAAGTAAATTGCATTCACTGTGTAATGTATCAACATAGCACTTACATCATCGTCATCGCCAGTCAGCGAAAAATCATAATAATCATCGGATTCATCCCGATCATCATCGTCATCATCGTATGACCCACTATCATATTCATCACTGATTGATACCGAACCATAGGATACTTCACTCTGCGGTGCCCGTTCAGTTGACGGCTCTTTCCCAACATATTCGCTTGTCACATGAATCTTTGTGGTTAACTTTTGTCCATTTTGTCCGCCATGGCCTTGTGTGTATCGATAGTTTGGTGGAGTTGTCGGAGCCGTTATTCGATAACCAACCGTGCTCCGTTTAATGGGGCGTTTCTTGGCTTTCTTTTCTGATGGTCTTACCTTCACCTTTGTCGTTAGTGCATTTTCAAAATAATTATATACATTTTCAAATGTATCCGAGATTTCAGACACGAGAGGGGGATCTACATAAACATTCTTTATACGCGGTTTTGCCGTTGTTGTTGTTACTTTCACAGATTTTGTTGGCGGAATATAATACACAACACCTTTTTGTGACGGCACTTTTGTGGGTACGCGTTGATTGAACACTGAACTTGAATACGATGGATATTGAATGGGCACTTTTTTCTGATACACTGATTGCGGACTGTTAAGCGTTGTTTCAGCCATATCTTTCAAACCACAATCAAGCACAAATTGCACTTTTAATTCTTTCGAATCTTTTTGTTGATCAACATTCGGTAATGTTAACTTCGTCGTTGGCCCATAACGAGTTGGATTTTGCACATTGACACGCGCCAATGAACCGGTTCTATTCAATTTATCGATGATCTGATCGAGTTTTTGCACATCACTGCTGTGTTGTTGTTGTAAAATGTTACCAATGCCAAGAAAATTTTCGACTCTTTGCGGTCGCTTTGATTGTTTTGCTGGTGTAATTGATTGTTTAATGGTTTGCGGATTAAATACTGGCAGTGGTGTGGATTGAACATTTAAATTGAAATTTTTGTAGCTTTGTTGTGGTTGATGGAAATCTTTTATTGTCACAAGTAAATCGGCAGGTGTTGGCGAGGGACGTTTCGTTGTTGTTTGTAACGGTGCCTGGAATATTTTGCAGAAGAAGAAACGAGAAAGAAATACATTGTCATTGACGGAGTTATACAGAAACGCAGTTTAAAGAGGTAAAATAGTATTTGGATTGAGCACTCATCCAACATTGAGTGTATTTTGCATTAAAAAATTATTTCGAATGATTTGCTTGGATCAAATTGAAGCGATTCTAATTGCAAAATCGAAGGTGAATTTTTCGTTGACTCTCGACGTTAAACAACAATTTAAAACGCAAACAATTCAAGATCATTTTGAAATTTTTCCAAGAAAAACACGTAATTCACAAGAGAATTTTCTATTCTTTTTTTTCTTTTGAGTACAGTTTGTTAGATCTATTCGACCATATCCATGAGTACGTAGTACACATCGTTTTCTTGGAAATTAGTCGAACATTTGAAATCCATTTTTTTTTTTTTGATATATCACAATATTTTTTATCCCAATTTTATGCGTTTTCAAACATTTTCTCTTCATTGCGTCGACATAAATAGTCACCTGTGTCGTAGGCAAGGACATAAATGTTGTTAGCATCGTCGAATGGCTTTGTTGCGATGCTCCATAATGAATGCCACTTGAATCGTTAAATTTGTGATTATTGATTATCACACCGCGGGTCCCTTGAGCATGCACTCCACTCAAATGCATCCAAGCCAATAACGTAAAAAAATAAATTAAATAAAGAATTACATTCAAGAAAATGTGTCTGATTAAATCTAACAACGATGGTTTTATATTTATTCGACGTAACATTTTTTTTAAAACAATTTTATCAAGCTAGAACCGTTTTCTTCCTAAAGCGACCAGAAAAAAAATTAAATTAATTTTAAAGAGTTGTGAGCATTTTCGCTCTGAACAAAACCACTTCACAATTGCAAATGATTCAAAGTTTGTCAACTGAAAATTCATTCACTTCGATGTTAATATATTTAAAATTCTAACTTATGCGTACATGGTTAAAAAGTCATTTTGTGCTTGTGCTGCACAATCAAGCGATCGATCCGAGCATAACTAATTATATGGAGACAGATGATGGTAGTATGGTAACAACGGTTTACTGTCAGAATCGTAAGACTAACTTAAAAACAACAATGTTACTCATGGTTGAAAGTTGTGGCATTCTTTTCTCCTCTTCTTCAGTTGCATGGTAAATAGGGCTTGAAAAAAGAAAACAACGACCAACATATTGAAGTTGGTAACAAACGCATGTGAACGCAGCAAACATACGCATATCTTTATTTGCACGAATAACGACAATTTACTTTCCACTACTTGAATAGAGTCGCAATCATGCATGACATCATTGCCAAAATAAAAAAATCAGAAAAGTAAAAAAAAAAACGGAGGCAGCGATTGAAATTTATAGTGAAAGTCACGGTAATGAACCACATTTTCATGAGTTTTTTCTACCAAAATTCAGATCAATTGACACATATTCTTAAATTTGTATCTATTTCATGGAAATGCAGAAACTTCTCAAAGTTATTGGTTGATTGTCATCGAAAATTCTGCAGAAATTATTCTTTCTCTACTATGGACTCAGTATGTGGATGATTTTATGATAACATTTGGTGATTGAAGATATTATACCGTTACCATTCAAATCGATCGCATCAAAGTGTGCGATTTGTGTAAAAAAAAAACGCTCCAATTCGATTTTTAAGTATTTTTTTGAAGTAGATTACACAATTTGATGAAGCCTGGAACAACCGGGCGCCTCATTCCACCGAGAAGAATGAAATAGCAATTCAGTAGTAGCCCCATTATACCGTGTTTATCGATTGTTTTTGTCTGAACAAGATATCAAAAACCAGTCAACATCTTGATCTTTTGACATTTTCCAATCGTATAAAAAAACGAAGAAGAAACGTTGAATAAAAAACCGAAATGAAATAAAATAAACAGAGCATGAAGATGAAATGAAATGGATATTTTTTTCACGTGCTTAAAATCGAAGCGCTATACGAAATATATTATCAAATGTGGAGCATGCAAAGAATTTCACCTTGATGATAAGCATTTCATATTTGGCAAGTTCAATTGCTTTACGCGCATTTAAATTGACGGTTTCGCTAGGAATGTGATAAGACACGTTTTCAAAAGTTTCCACTGTGAATTCGTGAATTTCTTTTTCTTATACCCATTTAAATCTAATCTCATTCATTCATCCTGCACGAGACTAAACAAATGAACTGTTTCCTAATGGCTGGAAATTTCCTTTCACACAAAATACTTACACGTACTGTTATTGTTTCAAATAACAATTAAATCAGATCTAAAACAATGATTTACCGTCAATTATCTTATCAAAAGTACTAGATAGGCTTGCCGTCCGATCATAAATGACGTATGTGAAAGTTGTAACAGTTCATTTAATCCAATATTGATTTACGAGAGCCATTTACGTCGATAATATTTTATGGTGAGTGGCCGGAATGGTACCAATACTCAAATGAACGTCATTACAATTTTTTTCACGTGAATTTCGACAAAAGGGTATAAGTCGAGAACCGATTAGAAAAAGCGTATGGCAAAAAAATTGAGTGATGGTTATAACAATGAAATCACCATAATTGAGTTAAAATATGATTGCAGCAATTTACAATTCCGTGTAAACAATATTAAATTTGATTAAATTCGAAGAATAAAGAATATTTTTTGTGTATGCATTTTTTTATAACAAGAATATTTTACACAAAAGCCGATCTATCTTTATTGCTGAGTGATTAAATTGAATAAAATAAAAATGAATGTTTTTTGTTGATATTTTTAAATGAATTATCTAGAGGAAATGAATATTTGCAAATGTGAATAGACTGATTCATTTGTTTACGTTAATTTTCTCGCATTTTTATTACCGACATTACGGAGATTTTTTTTCATTTTCTGTTGACTATTATATTTCACTTAATTGAGGTCAAAACAAAGATATTATCCTTAAAAACGAGATTAATATCTTCAATTCCAATATTGGGCATATTTTATTATATAAATGCCAATACGTATTATTATTAGTCCACAGTGTGCACTATTAATAAAGATAAAACAAATATTTTTCCATCTATTTATCTTTCTATTTGTAAGGAAAGTCAACAAAACATATAACAATAATGTAAAAACTTCAGCATAATATACAAATATTTGTTAAGGCAAACATAATATAAAAAATTGAATAAAAACTTTGGTTTTCGTTGAAATGAATAAAATGATTGAAAGATTCCTAATAATGAACTATTATATATATGTGAGTAGATTCGTGTATAAAATATTGCCCAACAATTTGAAGAATCACAGTCAAATTATTGCTCACAGCCAAATTATTCTAACAAATAAATAGTAATGGTAGTAGCGGAAGCAAGAAAAACAACAAGCAAAACAAGTTTTGCTCATCAAGTTCTTGACAATAATTTTTTTTCTCAAATAATCCATCCAGGTCTCAAGTTGTTTTTTATATATTCTACAGAGACCATTGATCTGTCAAATACATTTATCACCCCACCAAAAAAATTGTGACCGATATCGACCGACTCCCGTGAAAAATGTATTTATAATTTTAGTCTTTTTTCCAAAGGTCACCATCTAAAAATAAGAACACATCTTTTCCATATTTTTTGATATCTGCCATGCAGCTCAATTATGTACACCGTGAATTTTGTAGGCGATTTCAAAATTTTTTATCTGACTCCAACTCATTGCGTAACACACATTTGATGATGCTTTCGTAAAGTATTAAAATCGTAATAAATCGCAGTTTTCTTCGTAAAAAAACCCAACTATTAAATACAAGTTTACTTGTCTGCTCTATCATTAAATCATTTCTTCACGCAGCGTTTGATATTGGTGACAATGTATTTGATGATTACGGTTTATTTCAAAATAATTCAATTCTATCCACGAACGAGTTTTTTTTTTGCAAATTTATAAAAAATCTTAAAATTCTGAACATTTTCGCGACACACTTACCGCTTTTCTAATAAAACAATTTGGTTCTTACGAAATAAATTGTGGGTAATTCCCGCGTGAAAAGATATATCTAATATCTATAGATAATAAATTTCCAGATTTTATGAATGGAATTTTATGAAGTCACTATTTTTTTCGGTTTGTGTAATTGAACTTAAATACAAAATGATATCATTAAACCGTATCTCAATTTAATACACACCATAGTACGTGCCTTTCAGCATAAAAAAGCATGATATAAAAAAAAGCCTAAAATTGTCGATACTAATCGACGACACACATAATGATAAATAATAATAATGGTAAACGATATGCCAATTAAATGTAATGTGTCAATGACATAGTGTCACAGTAGAAGAGAACTGGATATTATTAAAATAGAAAATCCAAAACCACTTTATAGAAGAACTACATTTTGAAGAGAAAACAAATCCATAAATCGTTTCCACTTGACCAATCAAAGCGGATTGAGTTTATTTACAGAAATGTGTAAAAACAGCCATACGATTTATTGTCCACATGTCAATCACGACACTGCTTCCAAAAATCGCTTGTAACCAGATGTACTTCCTATGTATTGAAAAAAATGTAATAAAAAAAAAGGTAGTTAGATGACTCATGCTAAAAATTACCAACCGGTTGTCATTTCAAACATGTTTTATGTATCGTGAAATTGTTGTCATTATTTATGCATAGAAGAAGAAGTAACAAGCAACACCGAAAATAAACAAATGTATCGGTCAATAAAAAAATAAATCAGAATCTCATAAATGGTCGTAAAATGGATCAAGATTGGTTATCAAATCAACTTTGTTCGGCCAATTTGCACATTGCAAAAAAAAGTCAAATTAAAGAAGAGAAGGAATGAAAAACACGCGTGTCATTTAGTCCGGGTTCTCTATAAATATTAATATGCTGAACGTCATATGAGTAGACTGTATGCTATAAAACTATAATAATGTGATAAATCGGCAAGTTATGCAAATGCTTATTTGTTTGATACGCGAAAGGTGTACTTTTCCATTCCAATTTCAGTTTCGGAGAAGTCGATAGACTTGTGAAATGATCGTAATTAGATTAAGACAGGTTGAGTCGAGTATTTCAATTATAGTTTCCATTTCAAACCGTGCACAAATGAGATAAAATCTGTTTGGTAAACGTGCACTCAACACGTTCAACTGCATTTTTTTGATTTGATTGTGATTAATATGCATTAAATGTACTTTGTGTAGAATCACCATCGACGAAAATAGTTTCACTGTACTTGATGGCAACACATTGGCTCATCTAACACGAATTCAATAAAAAAAAGTAACAAACAATAAAGAAAACAACAAATTCACATTAAAAAAAAATTGTAAACATTCGACAGGTTCAATTGTTTATACACATGTTTGTGAGTTTATGCGCATGGAATAGTCCTCAAGTGGGTGCACGAGTTGGTTAGCTACAAACACGATCTCATATTTTTGTATGTGACGCTCTCAAATTGTAGGAATTTTTCAAAGGCACCAACTCTCAGGCTACGTGTTTTACAGACGAAACACGATTTTTTTTTCGTTCATCACTTTCTCTCTCGCACAGTCTCTATTTCTCTCTATCTGGCCGGTTGCGAACCGATTTTCGCACAAACACATATTGTTTTGTCAACAGCAAACACAGTGTGTCTGTGTATTGGTCGCAAATCCCGTCGTTGAGTTGAGCCGATCGAAACGAATAAATATAGCGTGCACATTGACTACTCTCGACATTAGTCGTGTTAAACACACAAAGTTTACAACGGTGTTCTTACCGCGTAGCGCACAACAATTTTCGCTCTCTTCGTTAGTTTATTTTGTGTGTTCGATCAGCACATTACATACACAGTGCTCAATTTGTCACATCTGACTCTCGTTAAACAGTTCTTGTTTTTATTTTGAAATTGTTTTCTTTTTATATCTGTTTTTTAACGTACATTTTTTTAAACTATCATTTGACGCGAAATAAATTCAGTGAACGATCAATTAAAAAATTCTTCAATCAATTAAAGTTGTCAATTTGCGAAAAGAAGAAATAACCAAGAAAAAAGAAGAAGTGTGAAGCATTTGTTAGCATACTAAATGGTAATAATTTGATAATTAGTTCATGTGTCACATAGTTTTATTCGGTGTCAATCGCATTCTTTCTCACTTGAGAATGATTGACTTATTAGATCGATAAATATGAAGAATTATATGAAAGCTATGAGCTCGCTTTAGATCTAAATCGTGTATTTGTCACAATAATAAACACCTGTAGAATATAAATGTAACGCGTTTATTGACTTCGTCATGACTGAATGCATTCTTCATTGTTGACGGCGCTAGATAAAAATATTGCATTTGATCATTGGCCGAATATCAGTCATTTCGCTGATTCAACTTTTGCATCGTTGTGCGTGGTTTGATGAGTGTAAAAAGAATGACATATTCGTGGTGTCGGTTCGTATTTATAGCATATGTGTAAGAATTTCGGTCACAAATACCGCGTCTCAGTGCCAGTACTTTTCCACCCAGCTCAAGTGGCCCATTCACATACCTCAGGGCGTTCTCGTAATCCGATTCTCAAGAATGATTTTATTACGACTCGGATGATATGTTACGGCTATAAAATAATCTCTCTTGTTGACTGTAGAGAATTTATGAGTGAAACTAAAGTAGTCGACTTCCTAATCCATTCCGAAATAAAACGATTAAAGTGCTTATTTATTATTCAAAAACAAACAAAACGGTTTATCAAAATTTAATGTTTACATTGTGTGCATGTAATGATTCTTTTTTTGTCTTTTTGATTCACGAGAATTATGGCGCGAAATGTTTTAGCTATTATTAACTATTTGAGTTAGATCGTTCGAACGAAATTGCATGTCATTTCGTCGACAGCCGACGGGTTTTCCCTTTTTATTTCATATGTTCCGCATTTTGCCAAGAAATTCAATAATGTACATGTCGAAAATGAGACAGTATTTAAGGCGGATTTCCTAGGCATACATTTTTCGCATTTTTTTTGTATGACTGCAGTTTTTTTCTCTTTGTGCTTGCTCCAATAAATATTCATACTTTATAAAGTATAAATATATATATTGTGATTCAATTTCCTATGTGTTTTTGGGCAATTCCGTTCGCTTTATCGTGTTTATACGTTAACTGCGTTCCAATGGCCTGTACATTTTAAATAACGATTCGAAGATCATATGACCAATTAGAAATAAAAAAAAAACCCGTTTGAGAAAGTCACTTTACATTTTATTGCTTCGTGCAAATTCCTTTGGTATTTTTTTCGTGTCTGTCACCGCGATTACTCTTCATTCCCTCCTTCAATCGGAGTTCCCTTTCTGTCACTCAAACTCTGTCGACTGTCTGGCTGCCTGAACCTGAATGGACAAAAGTCCTAGTTCACCTTGATTTAGGCTGAGATTGTTAATCCATTGACGTTCAGCAAATTAAAAAAATATGATGTAAATATTTATTCGTATAAAACCCGTAATTTTTACATTTCATCTCTGGCAAGCAATCTCAGTCTCGTGTAACTCACAAAGAATGCACTCTATTTTGAATGAAACAAAATCAGATTTTGGCTTATCTCGCGATTGTTTTCTCAATCCCCTTGAAACAACTTGTATTTTTGTCGTTCATTCAAGTTGTGTTTCTAATCACGAAACAATCTTATGATTGACAGTTTTTTTCAATAATCATGACAAATCAATTAAAGGCCATTGTAATTGGCGCTTCATTGTTTTGAAAAAAAAAAAAAAATTGCATGTGCGCCTTTTATCTATAACAATTTCGCCATTTGTCACTTCACCGACTCTGTCGGCACACAAATGAAATGCAGTAAGAGGTTCGTGATTTCGGTTTCACATGCTTTTGATTGAATAATAATCGATGACTTGATCTGATTACGAACCAACGTACATAGTTAATTTCGCGTCGTTTTTCAATGTACAGATATTTTACGGATGAAAGTCTGTATACAATCATTTCAACATTCGTAAAATATCATTTTGAATTTCCGTTTTTTTTTAACTTTTTTAATTTAATTTGTATTATGAGAATTTTTTCACATAATTCGCGGTGCGCTGTTATTTTTATCGCTCAACTGCAAAATCAAAAAGCACTAAATTAAATGCAAATAAAAATGATCTTTTCTCTCTCTTTCCCTCACTGTTTTTCTCCCTTTTTCCTTTGGTTTAAATTTGCGCAGTTATTCGACAAGGGAATCAGTCAAATGTATCAGTGTTGTATATTTGCAGAGTACTGAGTACTCTGTCAGATAATAATTTTTTTTATTTTGGCTCAGTATTTTTTTTTCTCTTTCGTAATTTGCATTACCAATAAAACAGTTAACAGCCAGAAAATTGGCTGTAAAAATAAAAAAATTGCATTTCGCCTCTTTTTTCGTGCTATAAGCTATAGCAAAGCGACAAAAATTGAAATTGACAATCATTAACAGACACCAAGACATATGTCTGTGCGCCAGTTCTTTCCTCATTCGGTCCAACATCGAACTCGACAGATTTTATTTAATTTCAAGTGCATTTAAAATCAGTACTTTATTACATTACGATTGTGACGCGGTAACGATGCGGCATGAGGCTCAATTCAATTCAATTTGATTTATAAAGGGCGTTCGAGGCCGTCTATATTTTACAGATCCAAAAAGCGATATATTGTTTTTTCGTTCAAGTAGAGTGTTTATTCGTTAATTTTTAACATTCTCGGCAATTCGTCGTTTTTTTTTTTATAAATAATTAACACGAATGACGTTAATTGTGGGCATTTATTTTATTTTGTTTCGAATGCGATTTTTCAAAATTTTGTATTTCTTTCATTAATTATACCCTCTGCGAATGGTGTCGCTTTGTCATCGAGTGAAGTCATCATCTTTTGAAATTTTGTCTCATTCAAATACAAAAATATGCACTGAATAAACAAAATTTCAAACAACAGAGACAAAATATATTATGAAGACTCTGAATAAGAGAGAAATAACATTTTTTCGAAATAAAATTTACGTCTGCTTCATAACAATGAAATATCGTATTTTTTTTCTGAATTCAAAGAGATTCTCTCGCGCAAATAATCTCATTAAATAATCGCCAAACAAATTAAAGTTCATATCTATTGTGCGATATCGAATTTTGTGCTCAGTCGAATGACCGTAAAACACACTGAATTCATTGGAATTCACACAGAACAATATAGTACGTTGAACGTGTTGTTTTTTTCATATCATACACAGTAAATAACAGAAAAGCACGTGCAACGATCACGATTTCGTATCTGAAAATAGAAGAGAGTGCGAGAGATCACATAAATCATATTGCGTAATTATTCTAAATTAATGTGCATAGCACACGCAAATCGCAACGATTTCCAAGCGGCTACTGTAGTAGCGAAATTCGTAAATACAGTTTCGTTTTCAAAAGTTTTCGGTTTCGCGACAGCAACGCGAAATTTTGTTTTCATACCGACCAAAACTGTTCACATTTCTAATATTAGAATGTAGTATTCATACTTCCGCACGATGTACACATAAGCTAAGCGCCACGTGATTATTGTCTGCCGATAGTTTCAAGAGAAAAATTATTACATTTATTTTTAAAGACAAAAAATTTTCAAGCATTTTCTTGTGTTTGTGGCACTGTTTTGGCATATTATGTAATATAGCGAAAAATGTCCATCAGAAAAGCATTGAAAGCACGAAACTGAACGTGAACACAGAAGATCATATGTAAAATTGGAGATGTTGCGCAAAAACTGAATGTAATTGAACATAAATTGTTCTTAATATCCAAATTGTATCCATTGAATAAAAACAACAATTCGAATACCATCGTAAGCAATTTGTCCACTTATTCTATTTACATGGTGAATTAAGTCAAGCAAAACACGTTCAATTCCATTTAAATATTTTCGGGAAGTTAAGATTTTCGATGCGAGCATGCGTGCAATTACGTTTCGTTACTTCATTCGCCATTGTTCTTGATCAATTAAAATTAAGTGTCGCATGAATGTATGCTTCCTGTAAATTGCTTACTTGTACTTAATTGACACGTTTGCGTCCGCAAAACATGATCATAATTCATAATTCAATTCCCGTTCTTTGATATCTTATATCGCATGATAACATTGCACGTTTTTAGCATATTTTTTTTCATCGTTGATGATTTGTCGTGATTTCGACATGGAAAATAAATTAACATAGTTAATACCGGAAAATATAATTGCAAAAGATCAGACGTGTCCAATGGTTATGCCACTATTTTTCAGCACTTTACCGTGTCTTTTTGCTCTTTGCTAGTGACTAAGTTGACACGTTCAAATAATAATTTCGTGAATATTAGCAAATCTGAATTGAATTGTTTGAGAAAATTTCTTTGCATTATTTCTATGTTTACGAATTCTTCTAAAGAAAATCGGAAGAAAACTGATCAAAATATGTGTTCCTTATTTTTTTTCGTTGCAGACACACAGATTCACTGACTACAATAGTTGATTCAAAAAATTTAACGAGATGACTAAACAAACTAAAATCGAGTTGGCCGAAACGTCGGCGGGAAGCAATTATACACTGAACAATGGCTTTCTAGGAGGTAAGAAACAATTAAATTAATGTGTGAAACATCTAAAAATAGATGGCAGTATAACTCAAATAGATTGTAAACATCAAATAATATTTCCGCTTTCTAATGGTAACCGCATAGAAATGTCGTCAAGGTTGCAAATCATGGATTGTGAAAATGGTCAAAGCAATGGCAAATCAAAGAAGCATCAGTACGATCGAACGGGTCACGAAACAGGTGGTGGCGGTGGTCATGGCATTCAACCAGATCATCCAACATCGTGAGTGTGAATTTTATCACCGTTTCACATTCCATTCGCCATTAGTTTGAGCTCAGCTCATTGACCTTTGGATTTAAATGGAATAGAAAACATAAACATTTTTCAATCAATGTCAATGTTCGATATATTTACAGGTATGCTGAAACATTGATGCATCTATTGCGTGGCAACATCGGAGCTGGTGTATTTGGAATGGGAGACGCATTCAAAAATGGAGGCATGGTACTCTCGCCCATATTAACAATGATGATTGGGCTAGTCAGTGTCCACTGTCAACATGTATTGGTAAGGGAAATTGAATGCCACCGCAGGGCAAACAAAATACACATATTTGCCATACGATTTTCTCTGAATGTATAAGAAAACTTTGTAATATCATCGATATGTCTCTTTCAAACAGATGAACTGCTCGCAGAAGATGCGTGTCATACAGAGTACGTCACCAGAAAAAGTTGGCGATGCTGATGATCCTGATTTTGCTGAAACTGTTGAATTATGTTTCAAAAATGGACCGCCGCGACTACGTTCATTATCGGGATTCGTTAAGAACCTAGTGAATTTTTTCATTTGTTTGACACAAATTGGATTTTGCTGCATTTACATCGTGTTCATTTCGACAAATTTCGAACAGGTTGGTGTTGTTCATTAAACGTATTTCAATATTCAATCCAGTGCGAGTTTAACCTAATGTCAAACCGTCTTACAATTCACAGCTATGGAATTTCTACGTGCCAGGTTATCAATACGATTACACGGTGAAATTTACAACGATTCTACTACCAATTTTGGCCATTTCAATGATTACCCAACTGAAATACTTAGCACCATTATCGACAATAGCAAACATCTGCATGGCCACTGCCGTTGCGCTCACATTTTACTTTGCCTTCCAAGATTTGCCGAACATCAGTGAACGGGATACCGTTGGTGAATTAAAGAATTTGCCGCTTTTCTTCGGGACTGCTATATTCGCCTTCGAGGGAATAGCGTTAGTTTTGCCACTAAAAAATGCAATGAAGAAACCAAAACTATTTGCACGTCCATCGGGAGTTTTGAATGTGGGTATGGTATTTGTGGCTTCACTGTTCGTTGTCTTTGGATTTGTTTCGTATTGGAAATGGGGCGATGCAATCAACGGAACTGTTACGCTAAATTTGCCAGCAAAAGACCCGTGAGTTTAACAATGACACATTTTTTACATAACAATTATGATTAATCGAAAAATTCTCTTCTTTTTAGATTGGCACAAACGGTGAAATTAATGGCATCGATTGGCTTGATGTTTACGTATCCATTGCAGTTTTTTGTTGGCATTCAAATCATGTGGTCGTCAATCGAAGAGAAGTATGGCCCATTGAAACATCCACTATACTCACAGCTCGTGTTCAGAGCCCTACTCGTGTTATTTACATGTAAGCATTTCGAATTCTCATTCAATTTCATTCGTCTAATGTTTTATTTCTAATTTTCTTTTCAGTTTCGATAGCCGAGGTTGTGCCAGCTTTGAATGCATTCATCTCGTTAATTGGTGCACTGTGTTCATCGGGTTTGGCATTGATATTCCCGCCACTAATTGAATTGGTTTGTGCATGGGCCACACCGGATGGACCCAGTGCTCTTCTGCTCGCAAAGAATTTGCTAATTCTTTGTTTGGCTATGTTTGGTCTCGTCACCGGAACATACGAAAGTTTGGAGAATTTAGCCAAAGCCTTCCGTGCTGGAAGCAGCTAAGAACATATCTATTTTTATTTGCGATAGTAAACCCAGCTTAAAAGCGGGTTCACGTGATAATTTCGATTGTTTCAATGAATGAAAATCGCGAGAATATTTTTACGAACCGAACCGCCATAGTATCATTGTATCTTTCAATCATTTGTTAATAGAGTTATAGAGTTTGCGTTGTGATTAATGACAGGATTAGAATCGGTCAGACATACATAGTCATAGCAACGGTGATATCAGTACCTTTTATCAGTATCGTTAGTGTCTTTAGCAGATAAGTACATTAGCTCATATCATCGATTACAATTAACTCATACGCGACAAAATTGAACCAAAACAAAAAAAATGTCTCACAAATGCCTACATTAAGCATATTTAAGACATAGACATATAGTGATTTCAATTGTAAAATTCTAGAGAATTTAAGTGTAGACAACAATTATTATTTTATTTTATTTTATTGTGAGAACGATCAAATCGACAGGAAATAAAAGCATGAAATGAAATTACGATCTTTCATATTCATATCATGATTCTGCAGAATACACTTCACTTGTTAAACGGTCTTTATTTTGTATTCGCTCTAGCTTGTGTGGTCGGTAGATTTTTGTATGGACTACAAAAGGTAAGAAAATGAACACAAGGTATTTCATTGACCAGGGCATACTTCCATTTGGTTTTAAACAACAAACAACCAGTTCGTATCATTGCAAATATGATTGGGTCATCATGTCACATTGGATTTTGAAGCGAATTGAATCACATCATGTCTCTAACAGCTGCGGATGTGTTACATATACTACACACATCTGCTCAATTCATTTCCCCTTCGCGTAACATTAAGTCAGATCTCAACATGTATACTTCATTCGATTCAGTCATGATTCTGCTTTTGACAACAACATACAGTCAAAGTTAAACTAAATAACATCGCAGTTATGAATGACTCATTTTCTTTTGCTGAAACGAGATTCCTTCTAATAAAAAATAAGCACAGACAGTTTTTTCCACATTTTTTTTGGAATCACGTCAAATCAAATCGTAAGTATTTATTTTTGTATTAAAGTGTAACAAAAAATCGAAATCGGCGTTGCTTTGGCTTATGCGTTTGAATGTATATGTATGTACATTGTACATGTAGATCGTATACTATGCGCACTCTATCATGAACATATGGGTATATGTATACTCTAACACGTGTATTAGAAAGGCATATGTGTATACGGTTTTGTTTACATTGAGAAGATTTATTTTTTTGCTCACTTTTCCTTGTTTTCAATCCATTTTAAGTATATTTAAAAAATATATTTATACAAAAAATATAATAAATATAAAAACATCAATGGGAAAAAATAAATGCAAAAAAAAATCAACCAGAAGAGATTTGAATCCCGATTCAGCAAAAGGAGTAGAAAGAATACCAGGAATGGCAGGTTTTCCATGAATACTATATCCCCTATTGATTGCTCTATGTATGTTCGGTCGTCCACCAGGCCGGTCTATTTAGTTGATTGATAGAATCTTGATCCCCCTGGCTTTGAAATATGTGACAAGACACCTCATATTCAATGACTGACCTTTTTTAGTTTTCTTCCTCGATTTGTTTTCTTTTGACTTCGTAAAATGTCGCGCATCACCCAATCCAAAATATATAGAAACTTCTATTTTCGCAGTACCTGAACAGTGAAAATCAGTCAACAATTTCTGGGTGTCCGGAAGAAAATCCCAATCTATATGATCTGATCATATCTGTCCATGGTTAAATGCATTTAACCACTGCTATACACATCACTATATTGTAATCAATCATCCGCATTTGTGCTATGAACTCAATAAAATCAAGTTCAAAAAGTCTCTCTGGAGTATTTTATTTTATGATTAAGCTTTATATAGGTCTTTTGCAGTCAGTGCAGCATCAATGTAAGTATTTCTATAGATTAAGCTTGCACATGAAGACCTTCTGTATGTCTGTTCGTTTGTAAATAGAGTGAAACTGTTGAACGTATCGTACATATCATCCCTGCATTGAGATAAAAGATCGAATGATACTCGTAATTAATCTTGCCAAAAAATTCATTTGAAAAAAATTAACAAAAATCTCATTCAAATTCGAATTTTATTTCATCAAAAGAATGAAAATGATTTCCATAAGTATCTCTGTTTCAACATATTAAATGAATTTGAATTGATGTGCGATGTGTTGTGGTGAGTATAACGTCTAATACGTATTTTACAGATGTCGCACCGCACACCGATTCACGTATATGTCATTCGTTTAAAATAAATGTGACAGAACAAAGCAACTGCTTTTCGCGCGGAGCAACATTCTATTCACGGATTTAATATTTGGTTAAATTCTATCAACAAAGAGTATTTGGGTGAGTTTTTTTACTTGGATTTTTGGGATACCTTATAATATCACGGAATTAATTCGAAAAATCGAACATATTTTCAACAGGAATAGTGTAAAATCAACACCGTAATTTGCCGGTATAACCAAAGATACCCATACTGTTGCACAAAATCGTGAAATTCAATTAAATAAAATGCAAAGTCCGTTGATGTCACCGATACCAGTTTCAACAGCATGTCCGCAATCAACACCGCGGCCAGTGAACACAGTCGAAATGGAGTGTAAGCGAATATGTGTGGTTCGTTGCTTGCGCGCTGTCACCTGCAATGTGTTGATGCAGCTTTTGTTGTTGTCGCTATTTTTGCTGTTCGTAAATTTTAGCATTTGGCATCCAATCGATTGGTTGGTGCAAACCTTCCGAGTAATTATATCCATTTATACCTGGCTGTACATCACCCCATTGATCAGTGTTGTTATTGTGTACGGCATTTTCTTGGGAAAATCATATTTGAACGAGAAACGCATGTACCGCAATCGTTTCATGATTATTTACAAAACAACATTGCCAAAGTGTCTATTTTTCACGCTGCATTTTCTCATCGGAATACTCACAACATGGTTGTATTCACGATTTTTGTCCGACGATTATCAGACGCTATTTTTGGACCGTTCCGAATGTACAACCGACGATTACAAATTGACATCCAGTCAGGTATGCGTCAATGAAAAATATGTGCTGATTTCATTGTGCGGATCACTGGTGGCGATATGGTATTGCTGGAAAAAGGATCCATCGAATGAATCGTGCGAATTTCCAATCATTCATCAAAGTAAATATCTGCGTGCTCGTGCTTTTTTTTATTCGGTGCTTTGGACGACATTGATTCAAGTTTTCGTTCCGGTCATTTTGTCGCACGTTTTCTACAGTTTAATTGGACGCTTTCCATTCCAATGGTTTCTGCGACGATTGCTTCGCATTGAATTCGTACTCAACGGCAATGTACATGTGTACGACATTAAATTGATGGCCATAACATGGATTTTATCAACGAATATTTTAAGCAATTTACATTTGATGGCATTTTTATTTCAAGTATTTTTGACACAGCCAAAACTATTCCCCATCGAAGTTGGCACGCTAAATGATGGCAATGCGGTATTCAACAAACAAGAAAGCAACGACGTGACTCTTGTTCAAGCACTAGCCAACACTAAAGTGCCAATCGTACGACAATTGGCCGCATTGGATTTGTACAAACTATCCGAATATGGTGATTTATATAAACGACGACAACAGATATTTGCGCTATCATTGCCCGGCGGTCATCCGTACAATTGGAATGCATTAAGTGCACAATGTTTGAGTTTAATCAATTCATTCAACGCTGAGCTGCGTACCGCGATAAGAAATTTGAAAAATGGCCCACAAATTAAATTGAATAATAATGCATTGCCAGCACAAGTGAAACACATGCCATTTTCATCGAATTTTCAACCACAACCAGAACCGGAGTTTCGTTCATCGACACCAACACCAACATCAGCCACCGAAATGGCCGAAAAAATCCGAAATCGTCAGTACAACGAAAGTTGTGGCATTCGTAACATGTTAACACCAATGACACCAACTGAAAACGAACATTTACTATCACCAATCCGTCCAATTTCGGATCCATGTGCACGCTTTAGCCAAACAATGGGCATTTTACAGGAGAAAATGCAAAGTTTTAAAGCAACAATTTTCAATTTGCCGGGCATTCGATTTCTATTTGGTGAAAATGAAATGGCACAGCTACAGGCTATCGTAACCATTTCAAGAGCCGATGAAATTGGCTGGATCGTTCAAGGCTTATCATCGATTGCCGTTCATTCGTTGCACGAAGACCGATACGGTGTGGTACAAATGAATTTACCCGAAATCATTACGACGTTACTACAATTACGTGAGAGCATCAATCAATTGCCACCGAGCCTGTTCAACGTTAATAATGTGTCACCGTATTTGCGAAGCTTTCAGTCAAAACCAACCGGTGCCATTTTTCTACGTAATGCAGTCAAACGCAGTCTGTACAATTTATGCATCACATTCAATGAATATTTACCCGAATTGGTCACGAGCACAAGCGATTTGCGCATCCTTAAAAATTACATCGACTTTTTAGAGGCTTGAATTGTGTATTTTTCTTCTTTCATTTATTGTAATAATTATTATTAAGACTTAAGTTATGCTAATCAGGTTGAATTTATCAATTAAAACATTAATCCAAATAAAGACATTTTTATGAGCTGAAATGGAATCTGTATTCTCTTTTTAAAAACATAACGAAATTAAGAAATAAACGAGAGGTTTTTAAATAAATGAAAAAATGCAGCTCGTTTTTAAATGAAAATTGGAGAAATCACTATTTGGGTAGAAGAAATCTGAAAAAAAAAAATGCTTAGTTGTCAATAAAATATTCGAACGAGTCGTGTAGGTAAAGCTCATTGCGAAACATTGTTTACCATTATTATGGAGTAAAAAAATGCTTGTTTGCGGGAAAAATGGAATTTTTGCCAAACATTTAAGTATCTGCATTATGAGTCGCAGTAAACATCTGTATTGGTTGATTGAGTCAGGGTTCAATATTGCGACACCACAACGGTAGAATTTTTTGAATATTATCCAAATAAAATCAATTTTTTCTACCATTTTCTTTACAATTTCATATAAAAAATAAATCATTTTTTTTTCACTAATCCCTTTAATATCCGTCTCAAAATCAAATTGATGTGGTAAATTTCCACCGTCATTGTTCATTACGTATTTGATGTTACAGCCCTCGTCCCTAGTTTGACAGTTCAAATATGGCTGAAAGTTACACAAACAAAAGTGCTTTTTCGTGTCTAGCTTGCTGTAATCAGTCGAGTTGAAAGAAAAAAAACTTCTGACAAAATTCTTTGAATGGATTAAATTTCATTGACGTATTAATAATTGTGAGTGTTAAAAAATTGTGTGATATCAATCACATTGTGTGAAATGTATCCGCATAAAGGAGCATTTCCACCGATGGGCGCTGCTGCACCGAATCTAGCACCCACCAATATACCAATCGGTGATGGAAATCAATGGATGTCACAAAGTGCATACCAAAACATTGATTTGGACAAAGTTGACTGGGCTGTATTAGCACAACAATGGATACATATGAAAGAATCATGTACAATTGGCGGAACAAATGAACCATCAATGCCATGTGCACCGCCGCCGCCTCGTTTTACCAATACCATTAGTAGCAACAGCAATGATTATGAAGAACAAGGCGAGGCAGCGATGGAAATCGACCATGAAGACGAACAAACACCAAATGACAGCATTATTAATGTGACGGCACCACCGCCTCCGACAAATATTTTCCATCAAACATCACCGCCAAACAATTGGAATTCCGAATCGAACTCCAATTCACGCGGTCACCAGAAAAATTGGAATCGAAGTAAACAAACACAGCTAAAACAATTTAATGAATTGCATTTTCTAAAAAATGGTTAATGTTTATAATACAGAAGGGAATCGTTGGGGTTCATCAAAATCGCAACGCATACCACCAGGTGGTGATGGTTATGCGGCGTCAGGTCAAGTATTTAATAATGCCAAACAAATGGGCAGTGTCTGGTCAACACCACCGGCTTCGGCCTCATCATCGACAAATATGCCGCCATTCATGCACATAAACGCACATGCCAATGAACAATTTAAAATGCACGGAATGGATGCAAATTCAAAATCAGGTATACAATTAGAACAAATAGGTTTAAATGCAACGCCAACACTAGATGCGGCACAGCGTAAAACCTTACCAGCATGGATTAGGTAAAAATCAAATGTTACATCATCATATATCCAATCTCTCTGTTCGCATTTATTATGAAAAATCGATAAATTGTGAGCTATTTTTTCTCTCTCATATATTGACCTTCTGTCGTTTGTTATTGCAATTCGTCAACTGCATCGCTCGTACCGACCACTTGTATTTACCACGTCATTGTTGATATGTAAATCACATTCATTCACACAACTTGCTCTTCTCCCCACGGCACTAAACGCCACACACGCACACGCACACAAATGTGACGGTGTGCAACAGAGATGGTTTAGAAAAAATGGAGCGTGAGAAACTGAAGCAGGCGGAAAGAGACCGTGAGATGAAGGAACGAGACGAAAAAAGACGACAAGAAAAAATCATCGAACAAAATCTTTTAATGCAACTCAATGCCAATGAATCGTCCCCGAAATTACCCGCCAAAAGCAAATTTGTATGCAAATTTTATTCTTATTCACACTGTCTTTCTATCACTGTGTACTTTTCAAATCGATCAAATTCGAATCTTTTTTCTTTCTTTTTCATTTATTTTGTACTTGCTAAATTCTCCCACACATATTTTATTATTTTTTTTTTTTTTGCTTAAAATTACATACATACACACATACTTCTTTTTAACCATAACAAAAACCAATTGTTCAAATTGCATCGAAAGGAAAGTGACTCTGAATCAGACTATGATGAAACGGTAAACAGTGACTATAGTGAAAATATGACAAGAAAAGCAAAGATGGTAACCGGTGGTGGTGGTGGTGATGAACGAACAACTGTGGTTAGTAGTGCAAATGCAACGAGCTCCGATTCAACGACAGTGCCAACAACATTTAAGCCACATCTTACAAAAGCCGAAATTTTAACCGAAATTGTAAGCGACAATTTAATCCGATTTCGCTTGTGATTTGTTGTGGCGCCATACACACGCACACAAAAACAAAACAAAATATCAAAACGATGATTTGCTGCTCATTTATGTTGCCAATCAAATGTGTTTTTCTTTTTTTTCTTCTTTTTTTTCTCTTCTTTTTTATGGGTTGCTCTTTATTCGGTTTTCCCAAACTTTTTACCATGTGTCGCCCATATGTAGATGCTTTCGGTACGAAAAAATCTAACCGAAATTCTGTTGGAAGTTACGAATGAAGAAATTTACGCAATTGCTCAAGACACTCTAAGTAAAGTACGAACAAAAGGTCAGAACAATTTACAATTTAATGACAATTTTGAAATACACACACACAAAAATTTCATTTTATTTTTCAAACACACACGATTCTCTTGAGAGAGTTATTTTACCTCGAAATTCCAGACTTATTGAATTGGTTTTATTGTACAAACCATGTGAACCAAAAACAAATCAAATCAAATTCTATAATTTTCATTTTCGTATTTTCTCAAATTTTGCAATATCAAACAACTCGTTTTTCGTCCAAATTAATGATCTAAATTTTAGGTCGTAAAGCTCAATCCGTTCAAAAGAACGCATTAACTGCAATTACTCCAGCACTTGGTAAGTTAATCACATTTCAATGCATCTCATTTTGTCAACACAAAATATAGTATTTTTTTATTTGTCGAATTATTTCTCCATGGTATTGGTTAAAATTCACAAAAAGCAAATATTTCATTTAAACAAAAACAAATTTTATTCGAAAACTACAACCATTTTGGAGATTTCCTCGGTTCGATTGACTGGGAATCGAAACATCAACCCACACCATACGGATATGAAAAATAATATTGCCTTGTTTCACATTTCATTTAGGATTGGTCGTGTATGATGACAGCGATGCATCGAGGTCAGGCGATGAAAGCGATTCCGATGGAGCCAACGAACAAAATGCTAGCGAAAATGATTCGGATAATGAGATTAAGGTACTAAAATTGACCGTTTGCTCTATTTACAAAGAAATTTAAATGAAAACTAATTGTGTCTTTATTTATCATCATATGTAGAGAGTGATCCAGAGGCGGAAGGCAGCTTTTGAGACAAAATCAGAAGAGATTGAATCATATTTGGCTGAAATTGAAGAAAGAGAAAAGCAATGGCTTGATCGGGATGATTCGGTGGAAGAGCAAAAAAGTTCAAACAATCAATTATCCGTCCCGAGTGCAATAAATCCACCAAAAAGCAACGAAATTCCTGACATCCCACGAGAACCTCAAAAAATGCCAAATGGTATGGCATTCCAAATGAAATTTAAATACTCACCACTAATCACATATTTTGTGTTCTTTTTCTCTCATAGCCTCAAAATCCGAACGTAAAAACAGTCGATTCAGTGATGTTAAGAGTTTAGTGTACAATGTGGCAAATAGTCAAATGGCAAGTGCTGCGTCATCTTTGATTCGACCCGATTCTCGATCGTCGGCGACTGACTCAAAAAAACATGAAATTGATAAAAGAGATGTGAACAGCGATGATTCCGATTCGTCACAAAAACGATCCAAGCACTCATCGTCAACATCATTCAAATCAAGTCATCATCGTAGCAAACGGGATCGCAGTCATTCGCCATCGTCGAGTCGACGGCACAAAAAATCGTCACGAAGACGTAGCTCAAGCAGCAGCAGTGAGCGTAGTAGTTATTCACATCATTCGGGTCGATCTCGGAAGCATTCACGTCGCGACCGATCATCGTCTGACGATCGAACAAGCAAATCAAGCCAAGGCAGCCACAAACGTGATAAATATTCTAGAGAAAAAAGCTACTCACGAAGCTCTCATAGCTACAAACGTAGTCGCCATTGAATAATACACACTCATTTTCTTCTTATTAAAAATTGACGCATTATCTCAAAGAGACTGTTTGTTTTCTTCACAAATCAGCTGCTCAGCTACGAATCAACATTTATTCCGAACAACGTTGACCTGAACGATTTTCTAATGAACATTTATTTTAAAATGTAAAATAAAATTTCTTACATTTTAAAATAAAAAAAATATGCAACTTTCAAGGGAAAAGAAGAATTGTTCATAAGAAAATTGTTTGGATTCGTTTTCTCATGAGATTTTCAAAGATAACAAACAAGCTGATGAGAAATAGATTGAGCAAGCCAAATTGAATAAAGTGTTTTATTGTTAACATTAACTATCACCCCTCTTTATTTTTATCCAATTCAGTTTTGATTAATTCCTCAAAATCATCTCAAAGTCAATGAATTAAAAAAACTATATATAGAAATTCGAATTCACGCAACTAGTTATTAAAATAAATCACGATTCATTGTATTCAAATAATTGTGTTGACTGCTGCAAAGACTCATACAGAAATTTCAAGTAGAGATTAGTCTCGTGTTCTTCTTTTTCACAAAATTGAATAAAAAGACGAGAGAAAAAGGCAAGAAGAATGGAAAGACTTCAAATTTGTATTATTCATATGCTTCCATTTATTTTGTTACTCTTATTCCACATCAAATCACCTATAATAAAAACATAAAAATTCCTAGGAAAAAAAAAACAAGAAATAAAAATGCAACATGTTTTTCGCTTTAACATTTTGAGTTTTTTAATTTTATTTAAAAAATCGAGCATATCAAAAATATTTGGTAACAAAAATTGTGAACTTAAATATTATTGAACGGTGGAACTAATGACACAATTGGGGACTAATTATATTGATGTTTTTATCGTTGAAAAAAAAAATCGTTAAATTTTGAGAAAATTCATGTTATAAAATAGACCTGAAATGTTTACCAAAATATTTTTCATCAAAATTAAACAATTTTTTAAATGTTTTACCGTCATTTTTTTCACCAATGAATAACGTCAATATAATTAGCATCGAATTGTGCAATTGAGTGTTTCCTTACTTAATATCCATTTCTTTAAACTGAGTTTGAGCTTTGAGAACGTCTTCGTCCACGGTGATATTGTGTTGGCTGATAATTTTTCGAACTTCTTCACCAATCATATTGACTTCCTTTTCCGCACTCTTAAGGGATTCATCGAATTCCTCTTGTTGTTGCAAAAATTCCGTCAGATCTGTCTTTATAGCGGCCAATTCATTTTTGTATTTATCTATGATTTCTTTTGGATCAGCATTTTTGTCGGTGATACGATCGATGACATCCGCCAATTTGCTCTGTAGTTTTCGAATGCCAATGTCGATTTTTTGGGAGTCTTCAATGAGTTTTTCATTTATTTCCACATTCATGGTGATTGCTTTTTTGTTTTTAACGAATTTTTTTTGACTAAAAATATGTTATTTTCGATAGAAGTGTGAGTGTTGACAGTGAACCGCTTTTAAATATAAACGAATTCATAACAAAAGAGTTTGACATCTAGTAGTCGACGCAGGGTCGGACATTTACGTATGGTTGGAATGCGTACTTTATGCGGTGAAGTTGGTATGCGGTTCGGTGAGAACATGCTCAATTCCAAAAATAATACAAAATATCAGAAGTTATATGACCAATTATTTGGGCACAATTTTTTTAATTTTCATCATAGACGAAAAGTAAACGTGAATAGTTTTGAGGGAGAATAAACAAAAATCAAGCGAGTCAATGACCAGACTTACCTTAACAATATGGACAATCACATGAATTAAGCTTCAAATATAAATTGAATGGTCATGAACTTATAAAGTCAATTTTGTTTTGACAAAAATCAAAATGAAAGTAGAAAATTAAACTCAAATTTAGATAAAGCTTCATAAGCAGTGAATGCCGAAAGAATTCTATTCATTTTATTCAAGTCTTATCACCCATTGATACAAATCAATCGAATGATATTTTCTTCGACTGATCAATAACAGTTCCAAACAAATTCTCGTCACTCACCAAATCGGTCGTCTTGAAGCCTATAAACAGAATTTCTCAAATCAATTTCATCACTTCATAGTGAATAAACAAAAGTACTTTGATTTTGATTTCAAAAACAGAAGATGTTTATTGAATGCACATAAATGTTTTTAAAAAAAATCCAATTTATTTCTTCATCATCGATCGAATGTTGTTAAAATTCAACGCTTATGCGCTGTTTGAGTTAGGACCACGACGGCGACCGAATCCTTGGACAACATTGACGAATCGTCGGTTGTATTGGATACGTCTCTTGGCGCGGCCGGTCTTCTTCTTTTTCTTTTCTTGTTTTTCAACTTTTGGTGTTTGTCCCTTGACTTTACCGGCACGAGCCAATGAACCGTGCACTTTACCTCCCAACAATGGAACGGTCATGTCCAATTCGAAGCTGCTCAATGAGCTGGCTGGGGTGAATAAATCCAAAACGGTGCCTTCGCATGACAATGTGAATTCAGCAGCATCCACTTGTTCCAAAGCGGCAATTTTGTTCTATAAATTTCAAAAAAAGAAATTCAATTAATGCAAATTCATGTTTTCGGATAAAAAAGGCATCGATCGATGTGCATGGAAAAGACGCAATAAATTTTCAACAATCAATTGCACCTTCATATTGTAACATAACCTCAATTTTGCGTCCATCGCAAATGATATTTCCGATATTTACCTTGATTTCGGCGACGGTTTCATTTTGTTCAACGTCCAAGACGTGGCATTGGTTTCCGCGAATGTGGAATTGCATGTTGATTGATTAGTTTTAACTCCGCAACTGAAAAGGAAAACGAAACAAAGAGACACTTTTAGTTTTTGTTGTACAGGCACAATGTATGGGATTGAATGTGTCACACGTGTTAACATTCAAAAGTACATAAATATTTTTTCGACGGAAAATATTCCACAAAAATCTCAATCCCAATGAAAAACTTTAATTTATTTGTAATTTACGCAATGAATTTCGACGATTTTCAGTGGTTTTTGGATTTTTCGCACAACAATTATCAGGAAAAAGTGAGAGAACGAAAAAAATGTAACTAACCAGCTTTAGAGAAGACTGCAAAAGAAAGATGGCCACGGAATGTCAAAAATAATTGTACGATATTGGGCGCTGTACGAACGAGATTTTCGAGAGTTGAGTTGAATTGGTAAATTATGGCTCGTTCAAATTACACAAAAGGAATTATATTTTTTTACAAATTTTTTTCATCCAATTTTTTGGAACCAAATAAAATGAATTTAGGAATGAAAAAATATTTTCAATTTTTTTTGTTTCAATTTTTTTTTAAATTATTCAATTTTATTTAACAACACAATGTTTTGCAACGAGTGATTAAGGTGTATCCACAATACCGATGCAAATGAATGACGTTCCATTGTAGCGTAGTTGCCTGTTTGACACCTCAGCTGACTAACACGAATTTTTTTTCCATACCATACACACATATTTCACAATAGAATTTTTGTATTTTGGCCTTTATACAAAATTGCATCGATGAATGTTTACTACTTTGAATTAAATTGAGGGAATTTAAGCAGTGTTTTGTGTGAATGTTGAGTGAAAAAATGTTTCTGGATATTTATCAAGTGATTTGGCACATATTACAGTTTATCTTCGACATTGTTGATATCTGTTGTCGGCTGGTCACATTTGCCAAAGCAAAATGCAAACACGTTCAACGGCGATTTTACGGCGAGGATTTGTCCAGTGAAAAGCATTTTATTGAAATGAATAAGCGAAATTTAACCAAAATTCCAATTCATTTAGCTGTGATATTGGGACCCGAATTGCCCGATTTTCGGGCACTATCCAAAATAATTATATGGTGTCTATCTACCGGTATCCCAAATATCACATTTTATGATCATAGAGGTAATTTCAAAGTGACTTTTATTTAGTCCGGTAATCGTTTGATTACATAAAGAGTTTGAACACGTTTTTTTTATTGAATCGAACAAATTTTCTATTCCAACAGGCATCTTAGTGTCAAACAATGGCAAAGTATATGACCATTTATCACGGTGGCGAAAGGATAACGATAAAATTTGTTGGAATACATTTAACGGCGATATTTGTGGCAGTCAAGTGGTTTATAAAAATGGTTTGAAAAAGGAGCTGTCGGTGAATTTCGTATCGCCGCTTGAATGTAAGCGAAAAATTGCCGACGTGTGTCGAACGATGGCAACCGATAAAAGTATTCAACCTGAACAAATTACAATCAACAGTGTGCACGAACGATGTGCTACAATTATTAGCCCTGATCCAGACGCAGCCATTTATTTTGGTGATGTTTGCAGTACATACGGTTTTTTGCCGTGGCACATTCGACTCACCGAATTTTTCCCAATTCAATCACAAGACACGATGACCGTTTACTCATTTATGGAAACATTATTCAAATTTTCAAAATGCGAACAACGGTTTGGTTACTAAAGTGCCACTCACAAAGTTATTTAGTTCCAACATATACACTTATGTAGTTTAATCTAGTAGATAACGTAAGATGGATTAAGAAATACCGAGAAATGCAGAGTTAAAGATGTGAACAAAATCAAAAAGAAGTATTCACAACATCAGGTAGAGCAGATTCCAACAAAACTTGAGCAGATCAAGCAGAGATATACGAAAAGACTTTGTAAAAAATTATATCAATGAATTGAAAAAAAAAATGCTGGATTTATGTTATTCAATGAAAATACCATAAGCTTAAATTCGGTCTTAAGTTTTGATTGAAGTCGATTAATTGAATCGAGATTATTTGTAAGGAAAAGACAACTGTTATTAAATTTAACAACAAATACACATGCCGAAATAATATATGAAATTATTGCCATTTTTTTGTATTATTTATTCAAATTAGAGTGATTTCCAGTTTCAAACGTCAGCATTCATTTGAAAATCATGCTTTATATATAAATCGCATGCAAACTTACAAATCGTGTTAAAAAAGCGTCGTGTATCTAACAAAAAACCATGAAATACCGCTGAAATGCAAATCGAGACACTATTTTTACCTCAAATGCATTATAATGTTCAAATAGAGAGATATGTTTCTATATTTTTGCTTCGACACAAATCACATGTCATGCAGTATAAACACGGTAGTCAGTATGTGGGCAAATATATATAATTCAAGCTGTATTCATCCGTATGACAGTAAAAAAAACTGGTGTTCGAGCCATGATTTGCACAGCTGAATGCAAAAAATAGAAAATAAAACAGTGCAAATGCCACAAATATGTAGATTTGACACGTTTGAGAGATTTCATTCAAATTGTCCAAACATTGGTTATTTCAATTCAAATTTCGATGTGAAAACACCTTTTGAGCTTGATATTTCCAAATATTACCATATCTCAAACACATTAGCATTGTGGCACTGTGTGATTATTTGCGATTTGAAGCTATTGATACGTAATATGAATAACATTTGAATTTAATTTATTTTCAGAGATTGAACTCACTGTATCAACTGAATTTGAACACATTACATTGATATATTACTTTATTACCATAGCAAATGCACTGTATTTCACCAAATTTTTGAATCTGTCACTTCTCACTTGAGTTTTCCACAAAAAATTGTATATATTGTGACAAAACAAATAAAACACAAACTCCGCTTCACATAAAATTCATCACACGTGCTTTAAATTTCTCTGAATGATTGTTTTTTAAACCACTTGATAAATTGCAGTACATTGAACGCTTCAGAAATATTCGACTTGAGGCGAACTAATAAGAAATATTCAAATCTCTTCCTCGATTTGTGGCAAAGTGAGAGATTTAACTGGAGGAAATGTTGGATTTCGAATGTACACAGGAATGTTTAAATTATGCGCTATTTGTTTTCATTCAATAATAAATTATCCCTGTTGTAAAATAATAAACTCAAAATAGTCGTCGAAAGCGATAAAACCAGTAAATGTGTATTCAAATAAAGCAAGTTCTTCAATTAGCATGAGCTGCATCCACCAAAGATTTAGTTTTGGGACGAAATTATTACGGAACGTTTCACTTCATTGATAACATATGAACGGCATAATGGGTATATAGTATTTGTGTGTTATTGAATGTGTGTGATAGACACTGTGTTGAAATAGTGAGCCTTGAATGATTGTAAACGGAAAAATGTGTAAAACGTACGTGATTTCTACGATTTTCGACATCAATGTAGATCGCAGTGAGGAGTGCATGGAATGCAAAATAAATTGTTCGGGCACGTATTACACCACGGTACGCACAATAAATTTCATGTTCTTCATCCTTTTTTTTACTTTACTCAATTTCCAATTCGCACTTTTTGTATTATTTGAAAACAAAAAAAAAATATATTGTTTTTGCCAATTTGGCCTAAATACCGACTTATCGTAATTTCTTAAATGAAATTAAATTGTAAATCGGTCTCAGACAAAAAAGGGTATTTCTTTCATTATATTTCAATTGGATTGCACTTAACATGAAGCAATCCATTTGAATAAGTAGTGCAAGACATTGCAAGTGAATTTGTGTGTGTGAAAAAAACGTTCACAGCGTCCTTTTCACATGGCTCATTTATGGTCGTGGGAAAGTTTAGAATTCATTTTCGGCACAGCAGAGAGCCAGTGCTACATTATGCAAAAAATAAATAAATAGTGTGAAATTGTTTATGTTTTTGTTTCATCTTCTAATCTCTTTGTTTATTGCTCAAGAATCACCAAACACATGTGTAAGACTGACTGAACTACACAATTCGGTAAGGTGAATCAATGTCATTCGGTTCTCTTTTTTGTTACAAAGATTCTTCTCATACATCCTTTTTGCAACTACACTCGTTTGAGCCGAACAAAACACGGAAGAAAATATTCGAAAAAAAACCTGTGGCATTTGGGGTTTTCCTTGATCTTTCATTCTCTCTCTGCATCTCTATCTCTCTCGCTCTCTCTCTTTCTCTCTACGTACGGTATAGCATAAACGAGTCATAAAATGCTAATGAAAGGTTACAAACAACATTTTTTTCCCATGGACCAACATGATGTTTGTTCTCTTAATGATTTTGCACAATTTTTGGTTCGCATAGATAACAGAAATTCGAAAACACATATGTTACAAGCAATTCTCTAGAAAAATGGACATTTAATTTATGCACTATGATAAAAAAAAATGGTACAGTGCAAACGGATAGATGTGAACAGTGTCGTATGATGTATATTCCCATCAGCAGGGGCAATTGTATCGTCCTCCGAAAATGGCCGGGAATTTTTCAGTCGTTTTACCAGAGAAAAAAAGTGAAGAAAGGACGAAAGGATAGAAAAAAAAAACATAGAGAAAGAAGGAAAGCGAAAAAGAGAGACAGAGCCAGAGAAAAATGAGAAAAACTAGAGCAAGAAGGAAAAAAGAGAAGAGAACAAAACTCAAACAAAATTATTTTCTCATTTAAAATTTATTTTTAGAAATAAAACAGAATCACAGAGAACGAAGAACAAAAAGAAAATTCGAGAGAGAAAAAGAAATCAGAAAATTGTTTTGAACTTGAGTTATTATCAAAAGAAATCGAAATAAATAAATATGATCAAAGAAGTTCAGCTCCGTATTCAAAGTATTATGTAAAGAGTAGAACCGTCGACTATAAAAAAACGCATCACGAGATTTAACATAATTTGTGGCACCTCTTCAAACATTGAACACAGACATTTGTCTGCGATTTATTATTCCACTGCAATGCATTTCAAAGTCGAATCGCGTCGCATATCAAAGCGAAAAAAAATTCTGTTACTAAAACATGGCAGAACAGTAGCTAGTTATCAGCACAAAACGAAACTTACATATTTTGTATAATAAAAATTCAATGTTCTTTATTCCTTTGTTAACAAAATATTGTCTCGATTTGATATGCAACCGTTTTGAGTCGCGTTTCGATGTGCGACCAAACAAACAGTTGTTTTTATTCTAGAGCGTTCATATATTGTCCCTGTTTCATTCAATGTTGAAGACATTTTCAGTTTATGTGTGTGTGTGTTTGGATTGGAATGGCTCTTGTTATGCGCTGACAAAATAAAAATATTCGTTATCGATGACAGTATATAAATTTAAACGATGTTAATGTTTATTGCTATAGCTATGAGTTGAGCTGATGATTATCTGTGGCTTCTCTTTGCATCAGTAAAAAGAAGAGCAAAACATAAATGTTGGTCGCTCCGTATAAGTTTGTGTGCATGTGTATGCGTGCGTGTATTCATTCTTCGTTACAATGGTAGCAACCGAAAAAATGGGCGAGGCTAATTTTCCATTGTGTGAGAGTGTAGTAACCAATCAAAATTCATGCCGTATTCCAACGGAAAGAAGTAAACAAAACGAGAGACCTCTTTACAATCTTCTCCATACATACCAACAACTTCTCTCTTTGTCTTTTCGGCTTTGATAGACATACCATATACATTCCGGATGCACCAATAAAAAAAAGCCAAACAACTTCCATAATAGACAACATTTTCGCCTTTATTTCTTTTTTTGATGTCGTATTTCTATTTTTGTTTTGGTTTCTTGCCTTTCATTTAAATAAATACTATTTTAGCTTGTTGGTTTTTTTAAAAATTCATGTGTGACATTACATTGTGTAACTTACTTCCAGAGTCAAGATTAATCCTATTATTTATTTACCATATACAATGAAAAAATTTACATATTTTTTGCCATTTTAAGTGAAATCATTCTATTTTCTCTTTATCTTTTTTTTATTTTCTTTAAAATAATTTTGATTTGTCGGTTATCCTAGCTTAATGACTAAATAAGAGCTACGAAGTAAATGTGTGTGGGTTTTTCTCTTAAACTGGAACTATAATTCGAGGATTAAATAAATGACGGTTGCGGCATATTGAATGGGGAGAAAGTCATTTCTTTGAAAAGACATAAGCAATAAAGAAATCGTTCATTGCCTGTCGCCGCCGATACCGAAAAAAGGAAGAGATATTTTTGTCACTTGGGGAATTGGTATACTTAAATACAAACTAAAAATCGTTTTCTAAAACATAAAACCTAATGTACATATTGATCGTTTGGCATGTGATAGTTGTTTGAATCGACAATAACACTGGTGTATTGAATGGAATCTTGTGCACCGGATAAATTGTTGCCATTAAATAAAACGCTACCGCCTGAGCTTGCATTTCCATTCAGTAGAATGCTGCCGTTCGAGCTGTTGACATTTTGATTGGTTTGCATGTAATTCGCATGAAGATCGTCAGCCAAATGATGTATGCCTACATTTCCGATGCCCCCAAAGCAATTTACTTCGAATGAATGGTGTGCGGCTCGTTGATCCATATCCATACAATCAACATATTCAGGCGGCGACAAATTGGCTGAATCCAAATGAGAGCTGTTGTTATGCGTGTTTGTTGAAATCAGCACTTGACTATTTTGATGATGCATTGAATGGCGTTGTTGATGCTGCGGCTGCTGTTGCTGCTGTTGTGAATGATCTTGATTGTTATTGTGCGGTAAATTATGCTGATGATGTTGATGTTGGTGTGATGTCATTTGTGAATCTGCATCTGAATTACTGCTACTGCAACTATTCGAACTAGCCGAATAAGGCCTCAGTTGATCATTATAATTTGCATAGAAACCACTGTAATAATTTTGCTCTGTGTAATCAACATTCGGTTGATTGTTCATCGTTGGATGGATGACAGTGGTCGGTGAATTGTATTGGCTACCATATGACTGTTGGTGCTCGAAATGATCCATTGTGGATGAATAATTGCCGGACATTTGCATCGTTTGATTTTCAAGTTTATTCGATTGAACTGGGAGGTCTTGACGGTGTGGCAAATGTGATGGTTGGACCGTTGGTTGTTGAATGTGTGGTTCGATGTGCTGGAATTGAGCCGGTTGCATATGATGTTGGCCGGCTGGCACTGACGCCGAACGACCATGATGATGTTGATGGGTGTGTTGATGGTGATTGGACAGGGAATCATTTGATAATGGTGCTATTGCCGATGATGGAGATGGAATGGTGGCTGCTTGACTCGAACTTGTTGAACCCAAAGTATCTGTACATGACGGCGATTTTGAATTCATCTGCACTTCACTCAATACTAAATCTTTGACTTCTTTATTACTGTTGTATCAAATGAAAAAAAAAAAAACAAGTTTTTTTGTTAGTAAACAAGTCAAGGTTTCCTTCAATTTTCGGTTTTCAAAGCAATTCTTTCGAACCAAAAAGTTGAACGAAGGCAAAAAGTCGATTTGAAAGCAAAAAAAAATTGAGTTCATTCCATACCTTAGAACATAGTTAACGCTTACTATACAGAGTGGCCTAGAGGATCGTGAATTTTGTACGACTGTCGCATATGACTGCATCCAAATCCAACCGCCGGATTTTGTTAAGAAGCGATAATATCTCGTGGTGACCTGGCCTTTGTACATAACTGTTTGTTTGAAAGAAATGAAAACCATATTTAAATACAGAAAAAGCGACAAAAAATTTAGTGAAAAACTCCTTCCAAGTTGTGGCTTAGAAGATTTTATTTATTTTCAAGGGTGGTTTGAATAAATAAAAAAATCCAATATTTAACTTACGTATTAAATGAGAATCTCGTATATGTTGAACGTCGGCTGCGTGAATATACTGATACAAAGTTTTTTCAATCAACTCTTGTGGGCTAAATTCGGTGAGCTGCGACACACTGTTATCGGCATCGCAAGAGGTGCGCACATGAAAATAAGAGCAACAACAACAAAAATTATTTTTACTTTCAATTCAGCATTGAATGGGCGCTTTGAATCAATTTTCACCGACTGAATGTGGTAGATAAATAAGAGTTTCAGCATGCTATGCATAGACACAATCGGAAGGGGGTTGAAAATCCGTTCTTCATCGAACAAAAAGATAGGAAAAATATTTAGCTAGAAAAATCCGAACAATACACACGGTAAATGGATTGGTGTAAGTAAAAACACAAATCACAACCGTGGAAAAACAAACGTGATTGCATTTTTTTAGTCTTTTGCTCTCATTCCCGCCACTTTACTTGTACTTTTTCGTTCTATAGGTATTATAAACGCGCGGCTACAAAATACTGTAGCCGAAAACAAGATATGACACGTTTTACAGATTTATCATTAAATCACTTCACTTCAATAAAAATAATAGACTCGAAACGAAAATCACATTGAGTTGGGGCGAGAGAATGGACGAGTAAACGAGACGCCGAGAGAAAGGGAGCAGGGCGAAAGCAAAAAGCACTATACAAACAACAATAAAAAGGCATTATGAAAGCATTTTATGCTCGTTCAGCGTTCGAATTATACTTCGATTCAAAACGCCAATTCATTGAGAGAAGCGATAGACTAACGAACTACATTATGGTAGCTTGTATTTTGGCCTGAGTGTATAGAAGCTTCGACGAGCTAATACGCATCGACAAATATTTACCGGAGCTCAGTATAAAATGCACAGTTTGAAAACAACAATGATCCGTTTGGGGTCCATTGTTGTTGTTGATGATGATATATTTGCACGCCGACGCATAGTAACTCTACGCCTCAATACTACACCATTTCAGCGAACGGACACCAGACAATGTATTACAACAATTACGATACGTACTATTTAATGAACTAACTCATGCTATCAAATACAAACATCAAAACAAATGCATGGTCATTGGGCAATTTTGTTTGTTTACGCAAATCGAGCCGCGTAAGACGGGCTTTTTTCCCTTTTCTCGGTATTGGATCAGTGCAACAATTTAATTTCAAAAAAACGAACCGAGAATTCGACGAAATTGAACGATTTTCCAACGAACAACGAAGAAAATGAATTGAAAACAGACGGCAGAGAAAATTTATTCATAAAATTCGACGATTCTACTCACATTCAGCAACGGACGATTCAAATAGAATGAAAATGAAATATGGTTAAAAATGTTTCTAGTAAACACTTACCGATCGTCTAAAAATATCAACTTCAATTCCATGCTCGCACGAAACATAAACATATTGAGATTTAGTTTGATTTCGGTGATTGACGACGATGGCAACGAATGACCGACGGCAACCAATCCTAAATTCTGTACACAATTATGACCCTCGCCATACCCATTGTCCATCTGAAAAACTCTCGCTTTCAAGTAACCAGCACAATGGATCACCTAATGAGATAACAAATAATGGATAAAAAAAAAGAAATATTGAATAACTCTGATATGAGTAACCCAAAATAATATTGAAACAAAAGTTTTGAAAATCTGTTTTTAATTAAAAGATATGATGTAATATTTAAATGTAGTTAAATTAAGTCGGCGAATTTACCTTGTATCCTTGTGTGGTGAGGCCGGCATTTCGTTTGGCAAGAACGCATTTCATTCGCAAGAAAAATGTGCGTTCGATTTCAACGGTTTGCGTTTGGATTGGCTGTTGTTGTAGTTGATGTTGCGTGATGTGCGAGTAATGGTGATGCGGATGATGATGGAAATTTTGATTCATATGGTTCGGTGAGGCTAATTTGAAAATAAAAAGTAAAATATCGATATTTTACACGAATTGTTCAAGACGGAAAAAGGTTCACTTTGACTTCATTCATGAAACGGTAAAGTAACATCTGTGCAATGTCGTTTACACTAGAGGAAGTGTGAGAGAGTACCAAAGAATACAGAGTTCAATAAACTTACCTTGACTGTTGTTCAATGTAGCTGTGTTAAATGTTGGATTTGTACTTTTCGATTCGTTTGGATCAAAGGCACTTGACGCATAGCCATTTGGATGCAATGATAAAACACGTGCCATTTCATCTTGATCGTAATTGTGAATGTAATCGTATATGGAATTTCCGGTTAGTTCAACTTGTGCCAAACCAAGATGTGTGGATGCCGTTTCCGAGATGTACATTATTTTACCGTCTGGTGCAACGACAAATATAAAACCGTCCAATGTTTGTAGCAAATTTGAGCCAAGTTCTTTGATTGTAGGCACTCGAGTATTTGATGGCATCTCTTTTGAGCCCCATGCTTCGCCAAGACCTGCAAATCGAATGAAAGGCATTGAACGATATGGAACACAGAGAGATAGACAGTGTGTGTGTGTGTGTGTGACGATTTCAATTTTAATGAAAAATTATCATCTCCATTGAATTACGGAGCAATTTAAAAAACTACTTGAGACAATGGTACGACGAGCGCACGCACACAATGCTCACAACTCAATTAATAATTGTCGAGTCTGAAAACAAATAATTATCGATGAAGCTACTACTTCAGTGTTGCTTTTATTGTTGTTTGCACAACACACGTTAATTAAAACGCACATACACCGAGTTTACTGCTGACTAACCACCGACCGTGCTGCCATCGACGACATTGACGACGACGGTGTCACTTTGTCACAGTCATTTTTACGCAACGATTTTTTTTTTTTGGTTCATTCAACATTTTTCCACGAGTTCATTTTCCCATCGCCTATCAAATAATAATTAGAACTAGAAAACCGAGCGAAACACGTGAAATTTTTTGAATTAACAAGTACACGCTTCAAATGTGACAAGCCGACTCGTCACATAGAGTAAAAAAGATTGCGGAAATTGCTAACGATATTCATAAGTACAATGGGAAGTCTATTTGGTTCGCCTTTGTCGCGTTCACTCTAACATGCCAGTAGTTTTCTTGCTGTCAGCAAAAAAAACTAATTGTTCTTTGATAACAATGAATGCGGAACAATGGCAAGCACCAACCCCCTTCTTTTTTTATGCGATGCGTTGAATGACGACAACAGAATTTGATTCATTCTCGGATCAATTTAAGTGGTGGCGTGTCGCGCAGCATATGCTCAGCTCAAAGGGAAGCATTTACACACGCTTTGGGCGCTCAGTATGCATTTCGGTTTCATTTAACAATGAGGCAACAAACAAGAGACAAATTGGCATTGTTTTAATCTGATTTTCTCATGTTTTTGATGGAAAAAAAATTTAAATTCAAAAAGGAAGAAAAAATCTTTTAAAAATCGGATGTAAATCATAAATATTCCAAAAGAACGAAGAGAAAATTAGTAAAAGGAAAAATTTGTTCATTTTTCCAAGAGCATTCTCGTCAATTTTATGGAGATTTATTCAAAGGAATAAAAAAAATCTCTGCGCATACCTCGTTATAGCGTTCTCTTTCAAATTTGGAAAAAAATGAACCAGAAAGAGAGGACGAGAAAAAGAAAAATGAGAAAAACACTCAATGCCAGTGAACAAGCAATATTATTTGTCTTTTTCCCAGCGACACACAAGAGATCACACTTGAAAATGTAAATATGCGAAACAGAACGGAAAACGTAAACAAAACATGAATAAATTTGTACAATCGTTGTACCAATTTTTTACTGTTTTTCTTTTTAAAAGAATGAGAATATGAACTAAAAATTCCCATTTTAAACTTAAGATGACGAATAAAAAACTAACAACACTGTGACATCAAAAAAAAACCCACAAAATTTGGTCGAAAACAAAAATGTTGAAATAAAAATAAATGCATGTACTCACCATCGGGGAAAACTTGACGCATTTTAAGGTATGATGTTGTTAGCCGGATCACTGAAGCTTTGTCTAATTGCTGTGTAATAACGGTAGGAAGTGGTAGCAATTTTCCCAATTCACCAAATTCTGCATTTTCCTTTTCGCGTCGTGTGCGAGCCGCATTCTTGCTTTTTTCCTTCATCGCCAAAACCAATTTTGGATCTATACACAATATACAAACATACAAGAAAAACGAATTAAAAAAGGAAGAACATAAAAAAATTGCAAAAAAGATCGTTTTAAATTTCATCTGCACTCGAAATTGCACAAAATAAACTCAACTTTTATGGCCTTATTTGAATATGTTAAAATGAGAAAGTGTGAAAAAAATTCCCTAAAAAAATTCCCAAAATGCAAATTAGATTGTAAAAATGGTTTGCAAAGCACACGAACCTAGCATTTTGTTTATTTTATTACTTTTATTACAAACTGTCTTCATTTTTTGATGACTTTAAGAATAAAAAATTGCGTGATGTTTTCGAAATTTGCAATTGCACACGTTCTGGCACGCACCTGATCACAAACTAAACTAAACGATCATAGTGCCTTAAGATGATAACCTGCCAAAAAATTCAATATTCCGAAATGTTTGCTTGTTTGTGTCATATATTGGCCAGACGTGCGTGTGTGTTTTTTTTCTCTCTCTTTGTTGGCCAGCAATTAGCTGTGTGTTTGTGTGTGCATTGCAATAAATGACACTTGGCGTGAGAACCAAAAATCCGTATAAATTTCGTTTAAGCCAATTGGCTTAAAAAACCTACAACGTCTTTGTTTAGCATTCATTCATCGATCCGGAACAATGGTCCAAGTGCAGTTCTTCAAATCGGAAACGAAAAAAAAAAAACAAACACAAGCAAAAGATACAGGTAAAATTGTTCATAGGGGCGGATACCTGCTAGATGCTTGTACGATTCTTGTTGTTGCATGAAGTAAATATGAGAAAAATAAAATGGTCAGTTCAGGCATCTTTAAATTGTTTGGAACAACCCCATAATGGAATCAACGAAGGAAATTTTCTTCGTTTCTTTTTTCCATGTAATATATACGTGTCTTAAAAACTTGCATTTCCAATTTCAAACACCGAAAATTCTTTGAATATTAGATAATTTCCATAAACTGCGACTGTTTTAACACGTGCATTGGCAAAACATTCAAATTCTGCCGTTATCAATTTTACGATGCAAAAAAGCGGTAGCAAACGTGCGAATAAAGCAAAATATTTGCCCATTTCCCGGTAATTCCTTTGATATGCATATATGTTATTTTTTAAGTAACAAAAAAAAAGAACTGTATAATATTGTATAATACGAAATTACTTCTATAAACAATTCAAACAAACAAATTATTATTATTATCTTCGCGCCTCTGTATATTTTCCATCGCTGTGATTTGTACGCGAGTGGCAAAGATTTGGAAGAAAAACACACGGCATTGATTGTTCGGTATGGTTGTCGGTTGTTTTGATTGAAGACGGGCGGGTGCAAACACTACAAACAAATTGGATAAAAAGCCGATAATCACACATCGGAATAGGGAATCGTTTTTCATGCGTAATCTTTGTATCGAGATTTGTTTCAGTTTTATCACCGCCAATGAGACCGTATTCCGTTAACAGTTAATGCATTTTTCGGTTCCACATACACAGTAGCATCGTTTAAAAGTATTCATTAAATATTGAACTTTCGATGTTTATTTGAATTAAAACGGCGCAATGATGTGCGATTAGTAGTGTGTGATACGTGCACACATATGCCCCGGCTTGTGAGGAAGCGTTTTCAATTTATCGGGGCAGGAACCAAATAAAGTCCGTAATTCATCTTCACACAAAAGCGAAGAAACATTTAAAAAGAACAATATTTATTTAGGCATACATGTATATATATATATCGTTCGCAACGTTTGCCATGTTGATCTCTTTCGCCTCCTCAAAAACAACCCGAACATTTTCCCGTCGATTGTATCATTTTGCTTAACGATGGAAAAAAAATTAACAAGCACTTTATGCTTACACACGTGATGCGTACGATTCATTTGTTATTATTATTGTTATTTATGCGTTTTATGCATGCATGCTTTTCATACCGTTCCATTTATATGTATTTTATTTTGGATGCTGTTACTGCCGCTGCTGCACACACACACACACTCTCGCATTGTCTGTTTTTGTTTTTCTTTTTGTCTCTTCATTTGACTGGTATGCAGTTCTCATTGTTGCGCGTCATTTCGTTTGTGTGTCGAAAAACGTGTTTGTTCAATTGTACGTGATGTTTTTCCAAAATCAAAAGATAAAAAAACAACATTCACATTCCAAAAAGTGAACCATGATCATTCAGTGCAGTGTATCACCTTTGATTGGAATTTCCATGTCGTTTATTGTTGTCGATGGCACAGCAATTATAGTTCCGAATTTTTCTAACGGATGTTGCCCAGTTCGGAGAATTCTCCGTTTCTCTTCCGTTTTGGTTTTATGAATGACACACAATGACGATAATTTCCATAAAAAAACGGATTTTGAGCCTCATTCGAATAAAAAGCAGCGCTCAAAAGGTTCTAAATTGAAAAAAGTTCTATTTTCAAACAAAAATTCACAAAAAATCAATCGAATGCAAAAAAAATGCATCGAAATTTGTTGCAATTTAAATAAAGTGAATTTTCGCCACTTGATTTCACCAAAGCGAATGTTCTCAAATAAAATCGAACTTTTTATGGCAAGGGATTCAATTTCATGTGATAGAAAAGCAATCCAATCCCTTGAATTGGTGTGTTATGCGTGATAATGAATGCCATTTAAATGGGAACGACGCAAAATGCTTCGATGAGAAAATGACTTCAAACATACTCAAATCAAATAATTTATCGACATAAAAGACGAAAACCAAACAAAAACCACCACCAACACAATACCCATCGAAATTATTGCAAATGAAATGTCATGCGTTGCGAAGTAAAACAATACCAATGATATTATATATTTTTTTTCGCTGCATGGCATGTTAATTTATTTAGTTTTATGTCTTTATTTGACTTCTTTCGCCTTTTTTTTCGTCGATGGGTTTTATTTTTTCCGATTTTTATTGCAACGAATGATGGTAATTGAGGCGGTTTTCGTTTCACTTGATGCTGCAATAATGCAAAGAGCACTTATTTTGTGTGGTTTTATTTACACTTACAGCTAAGAACGAAGAACGAGTGTATGGGCGCGAACAAAAGAGGGACAAAGCCAATGAACGATTTATGGACGACTTGCATGGCAATGTAAACAATATCACTGTTAACAATCAGAACAGAGGCAAGAGAGGGTAAATAAGAACAACCATATTACAATGAGAAAGAAAGTTTTATGTTTAATCAATCCGTTTGAATTTCATTCGAAGGAAAATTATTTTTATCGCATCACTTATTATTACCAATTCTTCGCTTTCACATCATCGGAAATTTAGCTTATGGTGAAACTAAATGCTGAGCAAATATACATATTAGATAATTACAACGCATTTTTACTACATATTCATCGACCCTAATTGATTCATCACCCAAACAAAGAATACCCAACCAAAAAAAACAATGTCAAACAAAGCAACACTCAATTACACATAAAAGTGTCGATAACAAATAAAAACTATTTGCATGAATGACCGAATAATTTTATGACATCAATTGGATGTTCAAATGGATTTTTGACAGATGTATCGCGACAAAAAAATCGAAACCAAATCTGAATCATAGTCCTCAAATTTGGTGTTGCACCTTTGAAAGTTTTTATTGTAGTAGCCAAATTCATTGAATTTATCTTTGTTTCTCATTTTGGATTTATTGATCGGAGAATTTGTTGTTGTCGCCGACGCAGACAACTGGCGACCTAATTTAATGGGAAACCGTTTTTCAAAACTAATATTTTTATCGAAACTCAAAAGACGAAAAATATGAAAACAAATAGTTCTATTCTGTCATTATAAATCCAGATTTGCACGCTTTTTAGGCTTATGATACTATTTTTCGCTCGATTTTCCAGCTGACTTTTCGTTCTCTGTCAAACACAAAGAAGTTTTTGTCTCACTTTCCCTTATGATGCTGAGAGAAACAAAGAGCAGAAGTGTGTGATTTGAATTGTTTTTTTTTTGTTCTCTTTGCGACTGTGAGAGAGATATATATAAAATATGATATGCGTCAAAATATAATCCGCATTGAATATGCGATGTCATGTTCACCAACCGACCGAGATGACTGCTCTTCAGCAGCCAAGCGATGGATATTTTTTTAAATCTCGTCCTGATGCACACATAACTTATGTCATTAATGATATAAAAACGACAACAAATTTTACATTTTTAAAACACACACACACACACACACCGCTCACTGTTTTGTGGGTTGATCGATACAAAGATTTACGTAATTGTTGCGATGACATTTCAGGATTCCTTTCAAAATCACTGTCGGACACTTTTGGATTTGATTCAGATAAAAATATTTTCGGTAAGAATTCTTTAGATTTGAAAACTAATTAAAAATTCTATTTTGGGACGATGAATATTTTATTCAATTCTTCGAATATTTGCTTCGTAGCTATTTTCAAACGAAATATTCGATTAATTTTACGATGAAGATTTTTTTGAATTAAAATCTTTCATTGAGTTTTCTTCTATGGCGAATGAAGACTCAAGATGGAACATGACTCAAGTAAAGGCAGAAAATAACTGGAAAAATCAATTTTTCAAATAAAATGATTTTTGATAGTAAAAATCTTTCTAAATGTATGCACTGAATGTGAATTTTGATGAAATTCCAATTTCACAGTAAAGTACACCATTATTTAAAAAGATTTTTATATTGAATGCTATTATTTTTTACACAAAAATTCATCGGTGAGCTCATTATTTCTCTAAAAAAATCACAAGAAGCTTATCAAAGACTTCAATATCACAAACAACGTTCATTACAAAATTTGATTCATTTTTTTTTTGTTAAAATTGAAAAAAGTCTTCAAAACTATATTCAACCACCAACAAAGAATAAAAAATAAAAAAAACTAACTCCTATGTGCACTCATTGTAATTGTTGTTAAATTTTCACTGGCCACCGGAAAACAAATCCAAATAATCGTTTTATTTTTGAATATTTAATCAATGGCCAAAACTGATCAAAAACATAAATCGAATGTTTCATTTGTGATGAAGAATTTTTTTTTATATCGTTTTAACAGCGAGACCAAAAGTATCTAGATGCACTACACTTCGTGAGACTTGATTGGAAGTAAGAGCGAGTGTAGCTAATGTGTTGAGAGCAAGGTTGAAAACCACTAAAAAAATCACTACACATTCAAAATGTCAATTATTGTAATTATCATCATCATTTGTTATTTACACTCGAGCACATGTGTGTAATGTGCTGCAACCGAAGACGAAGAAAGAGAGTTGTAGTTGTTTCACAACATTAAAATAAACATTAAACACTCATTGAATGACAAAAAACAGCGAGAAAAGAATTTGCATTTTGTCTCGATTTGGTAAGAACATTTGAATTTTGGACTTGAATTTTGTGCACATATATGGGTGTGTATTGCAAAAGTATCGCATTATATATTGATGAACAAATAAAAATCTATTCGGTTGCATTTAAAGGCGTAAATAGAGCGAACTAAGAACCAAGACCATATTGATAACGAATATGCCAGTTCGCTTCTAAATTGGAGTGAGTGAACAATTGCATAGTGTTTTTGCTTTTTATATTATTGTTGATGTTTCGCTCTACCGAAAAAAGACGTGACATTTTGTTAAATCAGCAAAAACGACCATTCCAGCGAACGGAGCTCGAGTAAAGGAGAAAGACAGAGAGTGAGAATGAATAAAAAAAAATATAAATAAAATATTAAGTACGCGATAAAGTAAACAATGGCGTCAAAACCATTTTAAAATGGGTTTCTTTTTTTTTGGCTTATAAATATTTTGAGAGTTAAACTACATAGTGAAGGCTACAGAATCAGAATGCATCAGCCACATCTCATTTTACATAAAACAAATGATGGCATTTTCTCTCCGGTTACAATAGCTCGCTTTTAACGCCAATTTGATGGCATATTCTAATTCTTATATGGTCGTAATTTATTAGGTGGCAACACCCTTTTTCCGTAAACTACACAAATAGTTGAGAAGTGACATCAAATCACACCATCGATCCCGATTTTATTACGTTCAAACAAATACACCGATTTGAATATTGGCATTTAATTAATATTTAAAGCCGTATTTTGTAGGTTTTTTTTCTGTTTCATTTGTTGGTCGTCGGAGTTAAGAAAAACAAGTCATAAATATTACAATGTAATCGCTTCTAATTACAATGTATTGCGATTTAGTTGAAGTGTGAAATTTTTACTGGTCACTTTAAATTGCATATAAACAAATACTCGCGTCACAAAACGAAATCCGATTTGCATTGTCGTTTGAGTTTCGTTTCTCTTCCTTTCTTTTCATTGCTTCCAATAAATACAGAGAGCCGAACACAAACCCCACCGACATCTCCATCACAAAGCAGCGACAATATACAAAACTCCATTCTATATCGACAAAGAGGAAGATAAAGAGAGAAGAGAACGAGAGAGAAATCGCGTCTTTTTTCTTCGAACAATGTACATTTATCAAAATTGTAAATGTGTAAACAAGAAACGGACAGAATTTTTTTCATGCGATTGATTTACGCGTGTCCCGTTTTCTGTGTATGCACAATGGAGACAAAGTACAGCGTGAAATACGAGCAATGACGTCCATAAAAAGCGATTTCAAATTAATTTTCCACGAAAAGAGAAACAATTTTCTCGGTCTCATTTCTCTCTTTGCACAACAAAATCAATATAGCAACGGCATGTGCTGTACGCATTCTATTACGTATATGCAAATGCACACCGAACCACATATTATTGCACATATGAAATCAATACGGCAGAAGAAACAACAATAAATTTGGACACTTGCAAATCATTATCCCAAAATGTTTTCCGCTCATCTTTCAATTGTTATGAGTATTCTTTCGACGGAAACGCATTTGAAACTCTTGTGCACTATTTCAATTGAGTAACAAAAACCAATGCGAATAAATAATGATGTTGTTAGACGTCATTTGACTGATTTAGTGCAATTTTATTGTTGGAAAATTGCATAATAATCGGTTTTGGGTAAGCCAAAAGAGATAAACACCAGTTTATTTTTGTATTAATTCTTGAAAATTCGAATTTTTTCTTCTATCTGCCATGGGTTTGAATGAATTCATGGCAAAATACAATTTTAAAAATTTATTGGGTAATTTTAGTCGATGTTTTGCCCATTATTTTCTACAAAGTGTAAACAATTTATGCGTATTTCCTTGGAAATGATGGCGATAATACATAAAGATCCAATCATTGCCCATTGACGTGCGCAAACTGTACAGCTTCAACGTCAAAAATATTAAAATTACCTCAAACTACAATTTCTAAACGATTTCAAAGGATTGACGTTGTGTAATGAATAGACCTCTGTTTCAATAGAGGTAATTTTCATCTATTTCAATATTGAAACTAGAGCAGAGAGAGATATACGAAATGAAAATAAAAAAAAACTTCATTCAAACTGAAAATAATCAGTTTCTGTAGTAGATGTCTATAAATAAAAACTGCTGGCTAAGCACTTAATCGACGTGCATAATTATAAATATTGGAAGTTAACCGATCGTCGAATCATATAAGAAGATGGTTATCGGATAAGATTTCATTTAATGCAACTTTTAACTGTGGGATTGGCCAAGTAACCGAGGTACAGATTGTCTGTTCCTGATTACGCTTGTGTGTCATCGCATTTTGATTGACAAGCGATGACAATACGTAGTAAACCTTAGCTTGAAGGATATTTGAAGGAAATTTCTTGGTTCGAATCAATAATCGATACATCTTTGACGACTTTCAGATTAAAAACAGAAATCCAAATTAAAACTAGAGGTTTAAAACACGACTACACAGATCTACGGTGCTACATAAAATATGTTGCATTAAAACAGGATACGAGCCGTATTTGGTCTCTGAAAAACATTCGATCAACACAATAAAAGATCCAATTTCGAGATAAAAACATTCAATAAATGTCGGCTTCAAGTGGCCACAAGATGAAAACGAAGACAATGAAAGATGCTGCTGGTTAATGAACTCGCATCAATGCCCGCATTTCTGTGCTCTTGCATGCCATATACTGCACACATCTACCGTTAATGCAAATGCAACCCTTACAAAAATACGATGTGCGGAAGTAAGAATAGCTGTCTCCCAGAAACCAGATATTGCACAGATTAAAACTGGAACATCATTTTCTCATAAGATTGTCATGGTACAGTGACGCGTATACATTCACAGTTAAATGTAACTTTTGAAGTGAGATGAATGTCATCATTTTTCGATTATTTGTCATTTTTCGATTAAGCGGTCGAATTGAAAAGACCCATCGAATAATTTGTTTTATTGGTTGCGACGTGTTTTATCGAAATATCAACTCGTTATACGCTCGTTTCGATCGCGTACGAAAAAACCCAAGAAGTTTGATAAGAGTCATTGTGGAAGCGAACATTATTTCATGTTGCTGCTTTCGAAGATTGACATTGTTTCCCTTCGGAAGTGCTAACACTCGGTTTTTTTTGTGATGGTAATATACCATTGTGCAATTTCAAAAGATTCGCTCGTTCACTGGGGCTATTGTCATTATATATATACTTTCTGAGAAATGTTATTAAAAAAGCGGAATTTTCAGGGCAAGCTCTTCAAAAACCGATAGAATCGCTCAACACACAATATAACGACCGTGTACACATTCAATTTATTCATCGTAATTCGTCACTCAGAACGCGTGAATATGGACGAAGAAAATTCTCTGAACGCAGGCTATAAATTGGCGTCTTTTTTTGTCGCACATATAGTTTTACAACGGTCACGGTATATTTAAATCGGATTTTTTTTGCGCCGTTGCGTTTTGATTTATTCAAAATCTTATAAAGTTTCAGCATTGGATACATCATTCATAGCGAAAGCGCCGTGCACATTTTTATGGTATTGTGACGCCAATGAAACAACGAGAAAAAAAAATGAAATTAATATAAAAGTATCATGAAATGAGAAAAATTTTCTTTTTACAAATCAGTTGATGTCCACAACACATACAGAGAGAAAGACGAACAATAAAAAAAAATCGGTGAAACAACTAAAAATAAACTTATTAGTTTACGTTAATAAAATAAATAATAATATTAAATGTACGGAGTTTTGCGAAGACCAAACAAACTCGATTTGATGGCCAATGCAGTTTTTTTTTTATTCAAAGTGCCATCTGTTTTCAATGAATGAATTTCGCTGAATAAGCATAGAAAAGAAGTGTTGAACTTCATTTGTGTGTATATGTTTTTTTTTGCATCGTTTGTTTTTTCTTTCATTTTGGTTTTTGTTCGCTTGAATGTGTGTACACTCATTGTTCTCGGTCACATGAAACCCGGCTGAATTCTCAGTTTTGCGCAGCAAAGAACAGTGATGCTGCACTGAAAAGTGACTGAATAACAGTTCAGCACTTAGTTAATCGACCTTTTAAAAAATCATTGTTTTGCTGTTGTTATATAGATTTTTGTTTATTTTCGATTTTGTGATAATTTCGTAATAATAAAAAAAGAATATTTTTGACAACATTGCTTTCACAGTTGAACAAAGAGTGTTTTCTTCAAATTCAAATTAAAAGAAATGCGGAAAGATTGACTTGTTTCTTCTTTAGCTGTGGTTTTGTGTGGCGAGATAGGCTGAAAGTGTCAAAGAGTGTAGCGAATTGATTTTATCGGCGTAAAATTCAGACGAAAAAAATTGTATACATATCTACCACCATTAGCGTAGAGATTATTTTACGAAGAAATGCACACAGCAAATGGTTTGCCTTTCATGTTGGTCATCGTGTCGAAAAAACACTTTCATAAAAGAATTATACTGTATTTTCTTCGGCGTAAATTTGTGAGCCGTGAATTTACGACAAAATAATAACGCATGCCCGAAGTTGAATGGGTTTTTAAGCATGTTGCGACCAATCGATTTACTTATTACTTTTAAATGAAATCATTACGACGCGCGAGCCAATACGTTCATGGGTGTATAAGGTAAAGCGTGTGTGATGGCATGAAATCGTGTGTTGGTCCAAACATAAGAGAAAACAAAATTGAATCGCAACGAATATTTCGAAAGATGTTAAGTGCGTTGTAAACCCAAACATCAAATATACTGATGACGGTTGAAAACGCATAAAAACTATATTGATTTCTCTCTTTTCAGTCTCATTAACAACGCTTAAATAATATCGAGTTTGATGGCAGGCAAAATCACATAAACCAGGAAAAACACGACTAATGCTTCGCCCGATTAAATCCGATTTTCCTGTGTTGTTTTTATTGCATCGTGAACAGCTCACACTTTGAACAACAACAACAACTCAGCAGCAACGACAACATCAAAAAACCGCACATTTCCGATGTACCAGCCAGGACAAAATCTCTTAATACGCCCATTAGATTTTCGGATTTTCCGTTTGCATTGTGTAATTGAGCAGGGCGAAGGCAACTGAAGCGCGTACGATGTGCGCTACTGTTTGGCTGCCTCTGTTGTTCCTGCTGCTCTCTGTATAGTCAGAATTGCACACGTGCATGTAATTTTTTTTTTCAATGCTTGAAGGAAAATTGCATCTCAAAGTCTGCGCACACCATTTTAACGATTGCTTCAGTTTTTAGGTTAAACATATTCAGATATATTCATATTCCGTATTATTATGGTTGTTGTTTTTATTGATTGTATTTGTATTCGAGGATCAGCAGAATGGACTCTTTTTTGTTGCTGCCGTAATTGTTGTTGTTGTTAGGGGGGAAGCGAAAAAAATTGCGTACACCAAATGAATCGCTACTAACGATGTGGAAAAATTGAACTAATTTTAACAAGCGCACACCGAGGCTTGATTGATTCGAAACATAAGCCCATAACGAGTAGTGGGTGGCCGGTGCACTGATTTTTACGCACATACAAAAACTAGAGAGTAAGGTAACAGAAGCTGAACAAGCATTTTTTTCATCATCATCACCATTAACCAAAACTAAACGTTTCACACATTTTCGCTTTCCCTTTTAACATCTACTTTTTTCAATGTGCATTTTTTTCCACTATTTTACGTTTTGAAATTTAATGCCCGAAATATGACTCCGGTGATGACTATTCAAGTCAAACGGCATCATCACACGCCAACTAACAAAATTCAAATGTCAGTAAATTTATGTTATTCTAGACATTTTGACGTCGGCATTATCAACGAACCAAATCACCGTTTTTCCTTCTACTTTGCAACAAGGACATCGGATTTGAAACCGAACCGACGAATATCTTTAAAGAAAACATTCGAACACTGTGAAAACAGAAATAATAACATTTATTTATTTTTCTATTTGAATTTTGGTATTAGTATAATTTTTTTGTATCTTTGGAAGTTTATGAGGAAACTGTTTTTTTTTAAATAAATAATCATGACAAAATCACTCATTAGACCTTTGGCTTCTCATTTATCTTGGGAAGATTTTTGATTAGAACATAATAATTTTGGAACCAAACTTCGTCAAACTTAATCGCAAAAGTCAGATTTTTTATCCGAAGGGTTTCCTTTTAATTTTTAAGGTCCACCACAATTTCTACGGTATTTTACACAGTTATTATCTTTTGTTAATTAATCAATTACATAAAAAATATATTTAAATAAAATCTAGTCGAGTTGGTCGAATACCATTATTAATCCAATTCAATCTTTTTAATCTTTAACCCCATATTAATCAAATTATAAAAATAAATTTAAAATGATGTAAGTTTATTTGTATAACTTTTCCATTTAGATCACTAAATCAAGGTCGGGACTATCTATGTTTATACGTTGGTTACATGAGTCAAAAATAATCACAATAATCACATTATATCAAAGACGAGAAAATAAAAAAAAGTTGATAAGAGTCACGTACCGTTGCAAACTATATAATAATTGTAAACAAATTAATCCAACAAAACGATAGCGATGAGGAATTTGGCATAGATGTCCGTCTGTTCGATGTTCTTTTTTTGTTTATCCGTTATCACTTTGTTTAAATTTTTTGATTGAAGTGTTTTTGATATTTTTTCCGTAAATTGTTTATTGAAGTGTCACACGGTAATTTCTGAATTTCTCAACACTATATAAATTGTTCGCTATTTTTTCACTTTCACTTTTTCTTTCATACCCTTTTTTTACAGAAAAATTAAGCTTTTGAGGAAAAAAAGAAAATTTTTGCAAAATGTTTTTTCCCTTGAAAGTCTCCGATTTTTTCGTTCTTTTTTTATCAAGCTATCTCTGGCTTGTTTTAAATTCAAAAGATTTTTGTTTTTAAACTGAATACACTTTATTTTGTTTTAAAATAAATCTGTCTCTTCACTAGTAAAATTCACTCAAAAACGAATATGCGAATAAATAAAATTCCGTCCGTCGATGTGTCTCGAAATGACAAAATATTCGATTGAAATTCACAAACTGAATGCTGAACTAACGGTTTACGAGAGAAGAAGAGCATTAACGCAGTGACGGCGCGAACTCGACCAAATACCAAAAATGAAAGACACACATCGTCATCCGTTTGCTATACATATCCCTCTTCACTCGGGCGCTTATTTAAATGATGACGACGATGATGAGGCGAGCGAGCGAGAGAGAGATCCAGCGAAAGATGAAAATGAATAATCACAGTATGCTCGCTCCTCAGGAATCGGATACATAGCACACGGAAATCTGAAATGAGAGGAGAGACCGAGCAAAGTGTGTGAAAAGTGTGTTTGTGTATATATATGCGGTTGTGTATCACAAACAACGATCGTCTGCCACTTTTTCTCTCACACTCATCATATCTATATGTGCCGTAGCTTCTCTTGTATGCGAGCTCTCTCCTTTACTCGTGCGTTTCATTATACATCTACATAATATATTATATTGAAGAGTGCACTTTTCGCACTTGTACGCGGATCACAGCAACATCAGCAGTAGATTCGAGTTTTTTTTTTCAATAAAAAAACGAGCAAAAAAAATCAATTTGAAACGAACGAATGCAAATTTTTTTTTTACCATATTTTATTGGCAATTTCGTTGCAATGAGATCATTGGAATAAACTTGAAGTAAATAATAAGCGATTGTTTATTTTCCCGTTTGTTGAACCGTGCAGTAGCGATTGAATTTCAGAAAAATGTATATATTTTGTTGAATTTCCTCTGCACTCTACACTGATCGTTGTTGTCAGAGATTCCATTATTATTTTCATTTTGAGATTAACGAGAGCATAAGAGACCAATTATGTTTGGACAAATGATATTTTACACTATGCCATTGAATGAAGTGCAAACAAAGGGCCATGTTTTTCTTTTACACCTTCTTTGTACTCCAGCTCGAGCGTATGCATGTGTGTATGTAAGTGTTAAAAGTAAATGAATTTGCATGTATTCTTCAAGTGATTTATAATGTTGGTTTTTCGTTTATTCAACATCTTCTTTTTTTCTCATTTTCATGCAAACGATGCTGAGATAAAATAAAACAGTGACGAAGATTTGTGTTCATTATGCTGTTTACAACGAAACGAAATACAAATATGAGGATCATAAGTATCAGGCCATGATTTTGCCTTAGCTGAGTGTACCTAGATGAAGATGCGCTTTTCTCCATAAAGGTGAAAGAGAGAATACACCGAAACCGCGCCCCTTCAACACACTCGATCGAATGGCACACAGTCGCATTCGCGTTTTTATTGGTCTATGCATCACAACGAATAGCTGAACGTAGACGAGATTGTGCGTCTGCGTTGTGTCTGCATAACACATGTAAACGGATGATTCCGAGCGAATACCTCCGACGATGATTTCATCTATCTCTTTCTCACTTTGAATCAATTCCATCGTCTCATACCTATCACACCAAAGCCACTACATATTTTGATACTATTTCCACAATGACTTTCAATCTATTGATTTGTATTTTTTTCAACTTGGTTTCTATTGATCGCTTTTTGTCTATACATTTCAAATATTTGAATAAGACACACAAATGAAATAAAAAAAAATGTTTTAACACACATCAAATGAAATCAATATTTAGTATCATTTTATTATATATTGAAGAATAATGGTATTTTTGTCATTCATTGCATGAGTTCTTTTGATAGTAAATTTGGTGCATTTCATTCATATAATTGAAAATTCAACAGATTAGTGAAAGAATCATCTTAATAATTTCTATAATATTTATAATATTTTTTATTTCCGTTTATTCAACGGCGTTGAATCAGGTAAATGATTAGCAATCAGATTATATCAAAAACGTTCTTTCTTTTGGTATACCCTGTAGCACCTTCATCTGACAATACTAAACATCGTTCTTCTTTTCAGTGACAGCTACCATGTAGTGATTCAACTGTCAAACTTATTGTATAAACAAAAAAAAAATACAAAAGAGAATTGTGCCCAAAACAAAGCAGTAAAGCCAAACTTTATCGTCGGCATATAGTTAATAGCGTTAGTAATAAATAATTGTGCCAATCGTAAAAAGATGTCTTTAATTAACAGAGAATTTGATCGAAGTTTGGTTGGAGAGTTTGCACCATATGATGAACAAAAGCATCTTCAATACATGCAAAAGGAACCAAACTTCAAGAATGGTATGCAATTGGTATCTTACATCAAACGAGCCATTCAATTGAATTTTTCCTTATCATCATTTTTTTTTCAGAAACTGCAAAAATCAAGCGGTGTTTTGGTTATTCTGAAACTTCACCGGATGACACCGAACTACCAAATTATATTCAATTGAAGGTAAACAAAAAACAAACAAACCAATGATTGCATTTTAAAATCCTCCAATTGACTCAATTACAGAAATCCATAGACGTAGAACGATTTTCTAAAGATAATTTATTAACATGTTGTCGAGTTTGTTTAGCGTCCTGTAATTCAAGCATGTTATTTTTGTTCGATGCTGAAAACGAGAATCAACGAGGCCGTGAAGAAGCATCATTGATAGATAAATTGAATTATTGTTCGTGTTTCGCAACAAAAGCATCTGTTGATGATCAACTACCCCAGTATATTTGCACGAGTTGTTCGATTCTCATTGAGAATGCTTATGAATTAAAGATGTTATGTGAGAAGACTGAAGAAAGAATCCGGCAGCTTGACCATCCATTCTATTTATGTGATATTAAAATGGACATAGATGAAAATACAGATAACATTGAAGAAGACGCCGTTCCTGTAGCGGAAGAATGCATTCCAACCGTTGAATTGAAAAGCGATCCAAACCTATTAGAGACGAAGAAAGAGGTCCAAATTGTTGACATCAATGCAATACGAATACAGAAAAACTTTCAATGTGATATATGCGGTGATGAGTTTTCGCATAAACAAAGTGTTCGTAGTCACATCATGGCAAAGCATGTACATAAAGGAAAAAAACCATTTCAATGTACCGAATGTGGCAAATGTTATCGTTTAAAATTCTCCTTGAAAACTCACATGCTCTGTCACAGCGGCGAACGACCATTTGTTTGTGGTAAGAATATTCAGTTCAAGAAATCCAAATGTATTAAATAATAATATGAATTTTGCAGAGGTTTGCGGAAAATCGTTTAGGGCATGTGGCACTTTGAGCCGTCATCGTATCGTGCACACTGATTCAAAGGACTTTAAATGCTCAATTTGTGCATTCATCACGAATACCAAGGCCAATTTAAATATTCACGAGCGCATACACAGTGAGGTACTTCGATATGCATGTCAACATTGTCCGATGAAATTTCGAACCTCAAGCAACGCAGCTAAACACACGCGAAACGTTCATGAAAAACAAAAACCATACAAAGTAAGACCCAACACCCAATTATCATTTGATTTTCATATTGATTTTTTGTTGTTTTTAGTGCGATGTATGTGACCGAGTGTTTTTCAATCGACAATCACAACGAGCGCACAGCATAACGCACACAGGACTAAAACCATTTTATTGTGTTCAAGAAGGATGCTTGTCCATGTATGCAATGTACAAAAGTCTCAAGAAACATGTTCGAAATCAACATTCGAACGAAAACGTTAAGATTCCACGCGAAAAATTCTTCTTTGATAAACTAAATGGCATTTTATCTTAATAGACTTTAATCACAAGCTGACTGAAATAAATCAATATCGAAGCAAATCCAAATTTTGAATAATCGTCGTTGGAAAAACAATTTTCATCGGACAATACTTGGGTTGTAGCAACAGTGACAGATGACAATTGAATTGTCAAGCTTATTGAATGTTGTAAACAATGATTTAAGCAAAAAAAGAAATATGTACCGTTTAAGAAAATAAAAAGAAATGAATAATATCGCCAGTCCACCAATTTTGTCTTCGATTCGCATAGAGCCCGTTGACTCTGATGAATACAATCAAAGTTTGATTGAACAACTAACACCATATCACAAACAAAAGCTACTTCAGTATGTGAGAAAAGAGCGACACTTCTTGAATGGTAAACAACTCTAATTTCAATTGAAATCATGTCGTTTGATTTTTTATTTTATTCCAATTTCATAGAACTTGAGTCACTTCCAGAAGTCAGTAAGCATCTAGTCAATGAGCTGAATAAACAAAACCTGAAATGTAATCAAACCGAATGGTTAAATGTTTTGAAGGCATGGATACATTTTGTGAGGTAAGAGGCAATTTTCTTTAAACACATTTTTGCTTAATTAGACTCGGAGAAATTGGGAAATAGAATTTTGTAAAAGAGTCAAGACACCAACAGATCATGTTGCCGTGTGAATAGACCCATTAACTTTTTATAGTGAGAATAGTACTGATATGTTTTCTGTTGTTTCTTCATTAAGTGGTTGTTCCGAGTTGATGACACCGGAGGATAGAGTATTATCGAGATATATTCAATCTAAGGTAAAATTAATGAGTCCGACATTAATTCTATTTTTATTGAACGCATCAATTTTATTAACTCACAGAAACCCGTACGAAGAAACTCAAAATCAATCCAGGACTTATCCACCCATTGCCGTATTTGTTTGGCGTCAAGTAGTTCGAAAATGATATTTCTCTTTGACGCTGAAAACGAGATCCTTCAAAGCCGTGAAGAGGTATCACTGCTAGAGAAATTGAATTATTGTTCGTGTTTCGCAACAAAAGCATCGGCTGATGATCAACTACCCCAGTATATTTGCATGAGTTGTTCAATTCTCCTTGAGAATGCCTATCAATTGAAGGTATTATGCCGTAAGACGGAAGAAACATTTCGAGATCTCATCCATCAATACGATTTGTGTGATATTGACTTCCAATATGAAAATATCGGGGACACAGAACAGGGGAAAGACATTGTTACCACTTCTATAGCAGAGGAAAAAGAAGAAGTTACATTTTTTGAGTCGAAAACGGGTCACGATCAAGGTTCCTTTCCATTCTTTCGATTATTTTTCAATTACGTATTGATTAATTTCCATTTTTTCTATTTTTATTTGTGATTCTCTCCCAGGTCTCGATATATTGGAAACCTACGAAGAAGTCCATACAAATCCAATGGGAAAGTTTCGATGCGATATATGCAGCGCTGTACTTTCGAGTAAACAAAGTATACGTGATCACATGAGGCAAAATCACAAGAAAGCACAGAGAGGAAAGAAGTCATATCAGTGTCCTGAATGCGATAAATGGTTTCGTGTAAAATGTTCGCTGACAATTCATTTGAGAACGCATACAAATGAACGCCCTTATAAATGTGGTGAGCATATTACTGCCATAAATCAACTAAAATGCATTATTAATCAATGTTATTATTGCAGAGATTTGTGCAAAATCCTTCAAAACATCCAGTGCTATGAGCAATCATCGCGTCATTCATACTGACGCAAAGGACTTTCAATGTTCAAATTGTACATTTATCACGAATACAAAGGCCAATTTGAGAATACACGAACGTACACACAGTGGTGTGCAACCGTATACATGTCAACATTGTCCGATGAAATTTCGAACTGCAAGCAATGTGGTCAAACACACGCGAAACATTCACGAAAAACAAAAAACAAACAAAGTAAGGCCTAATTAGTACTATCTTTCCGACATATTTATTAATTTCTGTTTTGTTTTTTTAGTGTGAAAAATGCAGTCGATCGTTTTTTACGCGAGAATCACTTAAGAAACATAGTATAATTCATACGGGATTGAAACCATTTTATTGTCCTCAAAAAGAATGCTCGTGTGTATATTCGTGGTACAATGGACTCAAGAAACATATGTGGCTTCAACACTCTGATGAAAACGTCAAACTTCCCAGCGAAAAATTTTACTTTGATAAACTAAGCGGCATTTTACATTGATATCTGATAGATAATGAACATGTTGAAATAAAACGTTATCGATAAAATGCAATTGGTTGTTTACTATGAGTCATTCAAATTGAGTGAAAACAAACGAAATGAATGACCGTTTTCATTATCGCCGAATAGATAAGCAAGTAAAGTGTGTTTGAGTGCATTGAGCAACACTTTGATTGGAACACTTTTGTGTTCTCAAACAAAAATTAAGTGTTTTTTAACTTTTAACTGACAGAAGAGTTGTTTTAAACTGAACGCTCTAGAACTGAACGTTGTTTTTATTCTAGAGCGTTCAACTAAAGACAATCAAACTGATAAATTTGTTTACTTCACAAAATTATCAAATAAGTAATAACGTATCACAACTTTTTTATCATAAACTTATAAGGAGGGACATAATAACACATACACACTTGTACATTTGTGCACACAGAAAAACAGTAGTAGGAAAATAGTTTCAATGTATTGCCAAAGTTTACCAATAGTTGATAATAGATATTATTGGTATTTTCATAAAATCGTCACTACAATAGCGCAGTTGACATTTGGTCCATCGCGCCACAACAAGTGTCAACTGTGCTGTTGACGATTGTATGAAAATGTGTGTGTAAAATAATTATCAGTCCAGTTCTCATCGTACAATTATTACAACATGTCATGCGATGATAGATAGTTTTAGGTTTCAGTTACGGTCTATATATTGTATAAGCTCATTCATTTATATTTTGTTTCAATGAATAAAATTCAGTGCATGTGGATTTTTTTAATTTTGTCACGATAGCATCAATTGAATAGACTTCATGCAAATGACGACAGAGACCATTATTTATTTTTAGACCGTTCAACAAATAAAATTTATCGGATGCGAAAATGACTGATTTTTCAAAAGCAGTTAAACCAAATGTGCTTACGAAAGTGAGTGTGACTGAAGTAGTAATACTGGTGTATTTTTTCAATTTTTTTTTTTGTTTATTCTATGATAGCTACACGGTGTTATATTTACGCCAATGAATTTGTCGAGTGTGGATCGATTGCGCAGATTCTTTGGTAATAATTTGAATGGTTTTGTGTGATTACTGTTTTGTATATATTTTGTTTGTGATTAATTTGCATTAGATTTGTCGCTATGGCAGTGGTTTATCCCGGGTCTTACTTTAATAATTGGTTCTTTAACTGCCGTCCTTGGTTTTTATGCTAAAAATATCGAAGACAATTTCATACGTTCTGTAAGTGATTTTGGAACACTTTTATGCCATTCAAGTGTAACAATTTGTCTGTTTCAGGTGATAATTTGGTTGATGATTTCAATTACGTTTGCAGCCAGTATTACTTTCATTGTATATAAATCAAGAGATCAGCTTGATTCAATCTTAGGCGAAATCGTCAAAGAAAAGTATATTTCGAACGCTTTGGGTGGAGTTTATTTCGGAACTCAAGTATATCAATAATGAATCATATCAATGAACACATTTTTTTATTTAATTTTTCTTTGTAGGTTGTTCGTTGGGTAATTTCTTTGTATTTTTACAACGAGAACTCGGAACACTCACAATTTAGACTGGCATTGCGAATTTTACCATTATTTTTAATATCATTATATTTACTCTTGTATTGTACTCCTGATGTCGTTAGATTATTCACATAAAATTAAATGAAAATTACGAATTTTTTGAAAGGTTGATCCAATTTTGAATATTTATTATGTCGGTTTAAAAATTAATTAATTAAAAAAGTCAGTAATTGAGAAAATAAAAACAACATTGTTTCTTTTTTTTCTTAATTCCTTTTTTTACTCAAACCTTTTTCTTGTGAAAAATAAATTGGATAGAAAAACATAATTTATTATTCAACATTTTGAATCGTCGCCAATTCGATATATTTTTAGTGAAATTCTTTCAAATTCATGGATTACGTTTAAACATCAAATATTTTAAATCCTCTCCTCCCATCAATAGCTCCTGATGTATCCCTTCAGATACTGTCCATGTTGGTTTGTCAGATTCTTTTAAATGTTCGTTGATTTCGTTCATTGTTTCGTCGTAAATATGAGATTCGAATTCATCATAGCATATCAACTTTAATCTCTTCAAATTGGATTTTGAAGTTTCGAAAAAGTTTGTTAGTTCTGATATTTGAGAACAGAGAAACGGCGACGTAAATTCTTTGGCATGAGTCAATTTTTCTATGCATTCAACGACATTATATAAATCATATGGGATAATTCGCACACTTTCCAAATGCTTGAAACGATTGATGAAATTCGTAATTTGAGGATCGATTAACACTACACGCAAAACCATTTTTTTCAAGTTTGGCATGTCAAATGCCAAATTTTCTATTATTTCGCTTGAGCTATAAACATATAGATCGAAATTGGTTACAGACGTGAGATTATAAACTGGTCGATTTGTTGCTCGAATCAAAAAATCGCTGCCAGCGTTTCTAATTTTGAGTATTTGCAAGTTTTTTAAATTTTGCGCAATGGCGCGAAGAGTGTTCGCACTTTTAGTTGAGAAGGAGAGCTCCGATATTTGTTTATTTTTTGCGAAAATATCTGGTAAATGATGCTCTTCTATGGAAGCATCGCGTAGCCTTAATTCTGTCAATTTCGTGACATTTGCTAAGCAATTTGGGTCTTTTATGGAGCCAAACAACTTGAAAGATTCAAGATTGGGAAATATTTTATTCAAATCGAATGATGTTCTGTTGCTGTCAGCGATATGGCAGCCGTAAGTGAACTTTTTCACGTTTGGAAACTGAACTACCCCTTTTTCATTCGATATTTCCTCCCAAATCCCGGAATCGTTTTGAGCAATCATGATCAATTGAGTAAAATAGTTTGCATACTTATTGATAATATTCTTATTTATATCGCGCCTAATAGTTTCATCCATAAACCGGTAATTTATCAGAATTCGCCGTGCATCTTTGCCGAATGTCTCGAATAGTGAATTAAGTCTGTCAAGACTACCGAATTGAAAGTGATAGTCTTCATTATCATAACGCTCATAAGATTCATCGGAACGGTTCATAGTCATGTAACTGTCGATGAAAAGTAATCGGTCCCGAAAAATGTTACTCATTGCCATTCTCGATGCGGGAATTAGGGCTTTTGATCGTCCTGCTTTTTTCGATAATTCCAAACCACCTTGGTGCAGTATCGCCGCGATTAATTCATCGGGCAAATCAGGCAAGTATTCAACATTATCTCCCACAGCGTTGCATTGAATTATCTAGTGTGTTGGAGAAAATAAGTTTTTTTTTTTTGAAAATACATTATTTTCAGTTGTTTGATGCAGAAAAATTACCACAAATATACTTACAAATCCCAAAAAAGTGACAAGGATCACAGTCAAGCCGTAATAAATTCCCATTTTTTCTCAACTTTTGAAGGAAAAAACAATTCCCAAAGCTATTCAACGATTCAGATGAAAAGAATAACTGATGACTTTATGGAAATAGGCATTATTATACATTTCAGTTACACATGTAAAAGACATATTTTTGAAATAATATTGACATAAAGTCTATCTCGAATTAGAATTAAACTTATTTTTTTGCAAGTAAAATAAAAATAAAAAGTCTTACGGGAGTAAGACGAACTTTTCCGCACTGTGGTAGTTGCGTATTTTATTAAGAAAGTTCAAAATAATATTTGTTCGATTTTTCAAGCCTTTCAAGCGTCGTAAAGTTCGAAACCAAAAAATATGTTTCAACTTTGGCAACGAAATATTTTTTAATTTAATAGCAGAAGTACCCGAGAAAAGATTTTTCACACTTTCATGATGAACCCATTTGTACGACATTTGAAAGTATTCTATTTTCTAACAAAATACTATAAAAAATATGTCTGACGTTAATTTTGCCATAAAAATTATTTTTGAAACACTTTCCATAACTAAAGTCACAAAAAATTTGGATCTTTGTATGGGAGCCATGTCTGTATGCTATATTAATGGTGTGAAACTTTGCACAGGTTATTTTTTCACAAAAAAATAACATTCGTAGGGTTTGGAGAAATTTCAACCAAAATTAAGGGTACCTCCCATACAAAATATTCGTTTTTGAGCCAAAAATTTAAAATTTTGTATGGAAGGTACCCCTATTTTTGATCGAAATCTCTTCAAACTTTCAGAATGTTATTATTTTGTGTAAAAAATAGTCTGTGCAAAGTTTCACGTCATTAAAGTATCATACAGGCATGGCTCCCATACAAAAATTCATTTTTTTTGTGATTTTTTCAAGGAAACTGTTTTAAAAATTGATTGTATCTCAAAAATAACCTCAGATTCGGTTTTCTCGTGCCAAAAAACCCCCCAATACATATTTTTGAATGTTTAAGTCCACATTAAGTATGACTTTTGGACGAAAATTGGACTCTTTTTCATAGGTATCACTCCAGGCATGACATTTTTTCCCATCAACCAAAGTCGCTCAAAAGCTAATGATTTCTATTCCTCGGGACCCCCAATCATCCTGTAAAGTCAGATTTTGAATTAAGTTTCTACGATGAGCGCAATCTTGCTAACAAATTTTGCGTACGACGTACAACGTACGACGTACAACTTACGACGTACGACGTACAGATTAACATAAACCATGCTCAAAACGGCCTGATTCGGGTTCGCTGACCTCAGAAACGTCCAGAAAACATGTTTCTGAAGTTTTCAAAATTTTGACCGATTACAATACTTTTCACCTTACACTATGTGTACGGAAAAGTAAAATTACAGAAATTTTCCCTCAGTTGATCCTTTGTGTAGGTATTACTTCAGAATATTGCTGAGCAATTTGTTAATTAAAATTTCTTAAGAAAAGAATGTTCATGAACACGCTGTGTTCAAATACATAAAATTCATTCAAAAAGGTTCAAAACAACGTGAAACTTAAACTAGAACAAATGTAGATGAGTATAGCTTAAGCTGGAAACGTGTATGAAAATGTAAACAACCTTAGTCATATGGTAGCATGTGCGTCTCAAAGCTTATTTGCCGCATTTTTAATATTCATACATGAAATATTTTAACTGAGAGACATCAGTAACTGCCACTTGTAAATGATGAAGTTTTTTCACATCTTCATTTCAATACGTTTCATTGAATTTTTCCACTGCATAAAACCTTCTTTTTTTCATTTCAAATTATCGAAAATGACAACGAATATTGATTTTTTGATGAATCATATGATTTAAAATTGCAAATTTGACTTCAGATTCGGCATTAGCAAAAATAAAAAATCTCGACTTATTTTAAGTAGTAAATTCAATACACCTTTTATTTGCGAATAAATTGATTTTTATTTAGTTGAATTAAAATATTACGTTGTCGAACAGTTTATGTATTTCTGTTATTAGTAGATAGAAAAAGCAGCCTTTTCATACAGTGCGAAGAAATAACATACATCATATTAATTCTCGAAAAAGAAAAAAAAAATAGTTCAAAATTAATCCAAAATGGATAGAATATATGAAATTCTACATATGATAAAATTAAATATTTTTATTATTCCGTACAAAATACTAATGTTTTTTTTTGCTGTCAGTTTCAAACATGCTGTATATTCTGCACACGCGTACATAGAGAGAGCCAAATATGACTGTATGAGTTGTAAACATGTAGTCTACACGTACATCGTACACAAACAAACATGTGACATGTCAAACATACACACATAAGTCATGCACATATGTTCATTTTGCGCCTTTTTAGTTTGACAGAATCAAATAACAGATGTGTATTCTTTTTCAGCGGTGCACATTTAATTTCGCAAAAATATAAATGAAGCAAATGTATTGCAGTAGTTGTTGATTTTTCAATAAAATTTAACGTTATTCGGTAAATGAAGTGGTTTTTTCTTGAAATAATTGTGAAAGTAAGGGTTTAAGAAGCGACGCCGTCAAGATCGGTGAGTATTTTTGAGTGTGTTTCGGTTTTGTAGAAATTTGTTGAAATTTAAATAGATTCCATTTACAAAATTGTATAAATATTATAAACTAATGTAATTTTTGTCTGTTTCTACTGTTAAAAGGGCCAATAATATGGATACGAATGAAATCAATTTGCTTGATCTTCCGATTGAGGTTTTGCCCGAAATACTTCAGAATTTAAATGATACGGATTTGTTGGCAGCTACGCGAGTTTGTAAAATTTTCAAAACTTATGCTAGAGAAGCATTCGCTTTAAAGTACAATGGACAAACTGATGACAAGCACTACACAATAAACATTTACACCGATGATACGAGAGATGAACCAAAACCGTACTGGCCCATTTTCAATACATTCGGAGACAAATTAATCGGCTTGAATTTGGTCTTTTATCGTCCATGCATCAGCGCAAATCATTGGCTCTTTCGTGTAATCGAACAAAAGTGTTGTTTTACAAAGAAATTGATAATATCAAAAGAAACGGAAAATCCAATTGGTCAATTCAATTCATTTGATTCATTCACCAGTCAGTTTTTTTTATCGCTTCCGAAATTGGAATGTTTGACTTTGAAACATCTCAATATTGAGTGTTCAAAATGGACTCGAGTCACATTACCGAAACTCACAAGCTTCAACGTCGAAAATATCAAGGGATTGAATCAGCAAGATTTCATCGAATTTATCAAAAGTAATCCACAGCTACAACAATTATCAATGGTGTCTCTTCGTGGAATAGATCTTGGCATATTTGGAGTGGTTAATAGTGCGTTGAACGAACTCAAAAGCCTTCAAATAAACCCACACTATCATGGCATTCTCAACGAATATCAAGTGCCTAGTTTGAAAAAACTGGAAACACTTAAGGTTGCTGTTGGATATTTGCTTCAAAATAACATGGGATTCATGCAAAACATTCCAATTCACGATCCATCAAATATCCGAACGCTTCGTTCATTCACAAGCAATTGCAAGCACATCAAACATTTGAAGCTGACGCCATTCCAAGATGAAATGTGTGAGATGCGTGCGGATGTCATCGATGTCATTTGTTCTTTCGATCAACTGAAGCGAATCGATGTAAGTTTTGAAATTTATATTTAGAACAGTTTCCGCAACTAATGAATTTCCCCTCAACTATTTTAGATACACGAAATTAATGTGGCGATGCCACTGCTTTTGATTCTGGTGCAACGTCTTCCAAGGCTGAATTCATTGCGCATCTACAATGCAAGCAAAACATTGACGATTGATTTGGAAAAAATATTGAAAATTTTCTCGCAAAATAACAGTCTAGTGGAATTTATTATCCATGGAAGAAATGTTGAGGAATATTTAGACTTTGATTTGGACTTCCATCGTTGTTTTGCACGATTCGTTGAACGCCGCGAAGATGCTAAATTTGTTTTAACCTTGGACGAAAGGTATGAAACCATTGTTATGACCAAAGAAAAACTAACAAGGAATGGACAACCAATACGCAATACGCACATTCTGGATTTGCCTGGAAAATGTTTTCAACTGATCTTCAACCATTTAGACGACGATAGTCAACGTTCTTCGTATGACACCTGTACACGTTTGCGCACGGAAGTGAAGCCTCACATTTCAAATCAACTGTTTCGCATTGAGTTTCCAGGCGGATCGCAAATGGAAGAAGATTTTCATCGTTTTGGAGACAACATCACTAAACTCGAAATATACGATACATTAGCTGAAGATGATGATGATGAATATGAACTGTCATTAAGAAGTGCAGACGATTTACATCCATTTTGGAATCTAATAGTTCAGAGATATGGAGAAAATCTCATCGAATTGCACATCCATGAGCACAATCCAAAATTTATGGATGGATTACAACTTTTGTTTCCAAATCTGATCAAACTAAAGATAAAAGAACTACAATCACCAACTCTTCAATTTTTCTCGCTCTTTCATTGTCCAAAATTGACGCATTTAGATATCGAAATGGAATCTATTCCGCCAAAAGACTGTTTTAATACTCCGAAAACAACCATCTTTGACAATTTGACAACAATTAAAGTGAACAAAGTTGATGATGGCATCGCAAAATTATTGAACGACATGGATCGAGAGGCTTGTGCTCGAATCACCGAGTTCACCGTTGGAATGTTCGAGACTTGGAGAATGTATGAACACAGGACATCCGAAGACTGGAGCGATAATATTTATGAAGCTGATAAACTTCAACGCATAAGATTAATCAATATTATTGCGCGGTTTTCGAATTTAACGATTTTGAATCTGATTGTGGGACACATTGAAAGAGAAAACGTTCAGTATTTATTTGAAAATTGTAGAAAATTGGTGAAACTATCGCTTTATTTTGATGCAGATTTTTCGGGACATTTAAAAATGGACTGTGCAAAAGAAATGTTCAAATGCGTAAAAGATAATTGCAGGCAATTACAAGTTATACAATTGGTCAAAAATTCGTTCAGTAGAAGATTTGGTCAACCGTCTATTAATCCGAATAATAAGCCATTTATGAAAATGGTGTGTGATATGTTTCCGAAAAATGTCAAAATTCTTTATGTTAATATCGGAAATGATGGCAGAGTTTGCGATGAAGTGTTTGAAAGTCCAGAAAATGTCATAAGGAGACCACTGTAATCAAAATTACTCGCATCAAATTTAAAAACATTCAATCATTGCGATTCATAAAATAGAGGCGATTTTTTTTAAATTATTTATTAGCTTTATCAGCTTAATCGTCAAAAAGAAACATTTTTTTTTCTTGTTGAAACTGGAATAAGTAAGGAAAATAGACTGATGAATCCATTTCGTAAACGTTACCAGTATGATATTTCTACCAGAATTGTCTACCAATATAATTACATACGATGCTTTAGTTATAGCTTCGGTCGTTTTGTCTATTTAATATTAATATATTAAAAAAAATAAGTAATTTGGCTTTCACGATATTCTCCGAAAAGCTATATTCAGTAATAGAAACCCAATTATTTAACATTTATCTATTTTTTATTTCTTTATCATTCACATTTTAGATTGAAATGGTTTAAGTAATAGATTTTAAAAAAAGTGTAAAAATAGTGATAATTCATAATATTTTACTTATTTGATAAATTACACAATAAATCACAAAATAAATAAATGAAATCAGAGACAATGTTTCTCAGAGCACTGAGGAGCCAAATATTAAAAGTTGAAAAAATATCAAAAATCAGAATATTATCAATTTGAATATTTTTTTAACTTTTACGATTTTGCCCCTCACTGAGCTTCTCCGCCTCCTCTAAGCGCTCCTCTCCACATATATTGCTCTGAAAAACAGTCTCTGATTAAAGTATTTTAAGCAATTTATGCGAAATTAAAATAGAAAGGGATTTTTTTAATAAAATGCTTTTTAAAATATTGCTGTGAAATTTTTTAATTTAAAATTCTCAGCGAAAGAATGCTTATGATATTGGTTCAACAAACATTCTATTTTTTCAAAAGCTTTATAACACAACCTAGAACTAAAACTAGGACGATTGTTGATAAGTAAAATATGCATCAACTGGAAACGTGTATATATGCAAATGCTAAACCGCGTATATTCATATATGCGCGTATTATACAGGAAATATTTTAATTGAATGACAAAAATAAAATATGACTTTTTTGCACATTTTCATTTCAATGCGTGTCATAGAATTTTTCCACTTTTCTTCCATCTTCTTCTTGTTGCCATCTTCAAATTGGCAAATGATCAAAAAATGACAATGAAAATTATTTGCCAAAAAAAGTCGACTTATTTTAACCCTTTAATGCATTAATTTTTTTCGAGATGAGAACTTTTTTTCTTTGATTATTTTGGTTTATAATTCCTTAAAAATATAATCGAAATAATTACACTGAGTAATTACTCGTAAAAAGTGTTAAAATAATCACACGAGCTACCTCGATCGAACATTTTTGAAGATGTGGAAAGAATTAATTTTATATCTTTTTTAAAGTAAATAAATAAAGCGATTTCTTGTCAATTATTTATTATTTTTCACTGTATTTTATTAAAAGAGTTTGGTTATCGTTCAAATTTTAGATTCAAACAATTTTAAGAATTTATGAAATTAGAACGGAATCCATGTTTACCAATTCACAGATTACGTTTAATCATCAAGTAGTTTTTGTTGGTTACATCAGATAGAGTCCACGTTGGTTTATTAGATTTTATCAAATGATCATTGATTTCATTCATAATTGCTTCAGAATTATCAAGTTTGAAATGTGCAAAACATTTCAATTTTAATGAATTCAGATTTGATTTTGTTTTATCGAATGTTTCGAAAAACTCCTTTAAAAGTGGCAATTGATGACAGAAAAATGGTGATATATATTCTTTGACATTCGTCAATTTGTCTATGCAAAATATGGAATCATATATACCATCCGTTGGTTTAATTTCTACCGTATCCAAATTTTCAAAATGATTGATAAAATCAGACAGTTGTTGATTGATTTCTTCTCCGCGCACAACTAGCTTTTTCAGATTAGGCATTTTGAATGACAGACCTCCCGTTAACAGTCTTGTTCCATCAATTTCGACAACAAAAGTTGTCACTGATGTAAGATTATAGACTCGATTACCTCCTTTCAAAAATTCATCGCCAGCCCTGACAATTTTAAGTGTTTGTAAATTTTTCAAATATTTGCTGATCGATTGTAGAGTCTCTGCTTTATGGGGCGAAATGTTGAGTTTCGATATTTGTTTATTTTTTGCGAAAATATCTTGGAGCTTGAGTTCTGGTATTGAATGACTATATAGCGATAATTCTTTTAAATTCTTGATGTTTTCCAAGCAGTTTGGGTCTTTTATGGAGCCAAACAACTTGAAAGATTCAAGTTTGGGGAATATTGCATTAAAATCAAGTGATTGTATACTGCTCTCAGCGGCATAGCACACATAGCTGAATTTTTTTTACATTCGGAAACTGAATTTCTCCATTTTGATTCGATATTTCGTCCCAAATTTCCGAGTCATGTTTAATTCCAACTAAATACATGTTAAGTCCAACTAAATAATTTGCGTATTTGTTGACAATGTTCTTGTTTATATCACGCCTTATAGTTGGATCCATGGAGTGATAATATAAAGTAATGCGTCTTGCATGTTTACCAAATGTTTCAAAGAGTGACATTAGTCTGGCATAACTTCTGAATTCAAAATAAAATCGCCTATTTTTACAACGATAGCTTTCATGAGTCCCAACGGAACGGTTAAGATTCACCGATTTGTCGATCACAAGTATGCGGTCTTCAAAAATTCTGCTCATTCCATCCTTGGATGCGGCGATTAGAGCTCGTGATCGTCCTGCTCCTTTCGTTGCGTTTAAACCACCTTTGTGGAGTATTTTCCCTATTACTTCATAGGGCAATTTGACGTCATCATCGTCATTTGGAGCAGCATCGCATTGAAAAACCTTGAGTGAACAGAAAAAATATTTTCGAAAAAAAGATGGTGAATACGTACTTTGAAACTTTAAAAAAATTCAATAAATATTCTCACAAATACTTCAAAAAAGATTAAAGCCAAGACGCAAGCGTTAAAAGTGTACATTTCTTCTCTATTCTATAGAAGAACACAAAACAACTTCTTAACTGTTCAACGATTTGGATGTAAGGAATAACTGATGGCATCTCCTTTTATATAGTTCCGTTACTCAATAATAAACATGTAACAGAAATGTTTTTGAATTTTTGAAATAATATTGACAAGAGCTCTACTTGTTATATGCAGTGAAATATTCCGTCATTTGATCTCAACTGGGTATTACATCGGTATCATTGCTGTGGAATTTTTTAATTAAAAATTCTTAACAAAATATTTTTTATGAATGAAAATACTGTGTATTAAAATGTATAAAAAGGTTTTAAAGCACAACTTGAAAATAAAACCCGAACAATTGTAAATGAATAACAAATGCTTAAAGTAGAAATCTGTATGAAAATAATGAACCGCGTGTGGTAAGCAGCTCTAGTCATATTCATGTTTAATATTCATACAGGAAATATTTTAATTGATCGACAACAATAACTGCCACATCGTATATGATATCGCTTTTCTCAAATCTTCATTTCAGGATGTGTCATTGCATTTTTCCACTGCACGAAACCTCACTTATACACTTTTCTGTCATCTTCTTCTTTCTTCCATGTTCAATTCAGAGAATGACCCGAAATTGACAATGGAAATTGATTTTCGATAAATCATGTGATTTAAAAATTGTAAATTTAACTAAAAGCTTCGGCTTTGCAAAAAATATGCATTTCAATCAATTATTTCATTTCATTCAAATTCATAAAATTAAATACCGATGTATCAAAGTTCCAAAATATTTAAATTCAGCAGCGTCTGAGAGTTTTCTATAGCAAATTTTTCAAAAAAATAATTTTTTACGTGGCAAAATCTAAAAACGAAATGATAGTTTTTTCTATAGTAAATTTTTCAAAAAGAATGAATATGAAATTATAACCGTTTTTTGTACCATTTTTATATGACCTGCTCCACTCGCATTTATTCTACATTTGTGAACAGCTTTTATTGGGCTGAAGCTTTGAATGTTAATTAGATACGAGTGGAAAAATGGTATGAACCGTTGAGTTATTCTTTGAGTCTGTCGATTTGGCAGGCTGGCATGTGAATTGAAAAAATATTAGTTCGAAAGGAGGTATTTATTTGAAGGTTCAGCCAATTCTACGCACAAAAAGTCAAGACTGAAAGTTATACAAATGAGTGGAGACACTGAGAAGCCAGTGAGAGGGCTCTCCAAGAACTCAAAACCTCCGAAAGTTTGAAGAAATATTGAAAATTGTCGATTTGGCAGAGGGGCATGTGATTTGAAATCATTAGTTCGAAAGGAGGTATTTATATGAAGGTTAAGTCAATTCTAGGTACAAAAAGTCAAAATTAAAAGTTGTGCAAATGAGTGGAGACACTGAGAAGCCAGTGAGAGTGCTCTCTAAGAACTCAAAACCTCCGAGAGTTTGAAAAAATATTGAAAATTGTCGATTTGGCAGAGGGG